GTTTCTTAAGAGATCATAAACTCTCTTCTCTCAGCCCACTCCAGTGGGTATTAATAATATTCTCAGCAGTGGTGTGAAAAATGCATCAGTTGGTGGAGCAGATTGGCTCTCAAGGTCCAGTTTTCCTTTCCTTTAATAAAGAAGGACAGAAGTGACAGACATGAAAGTTTTCATAACATGCTGACAAGCACTGAGGTTCTCTCATTACCTATTTATAGGAGTCGTCTTTTCTCTCTCAAAAAGTCAGTATTTCTGGAGGGCTTTTATTCATGCCTCTTGTTATTGCTATAGGAACCGGGAAGAGCAGAATCTGGTAGCTTATCCTCATGATGGAAAAATTTACTTCTGCACCTCTCGGGACATCCCACCTGAACACGAGCTTCTCTTTTATTACAGTCGGGACTATGCACGACAGCTTGGTAAGTAACTGCTCGTTTTTGCTGGCTTTACAGCGAGGACCCAGCTTGAATTCCCTTTTAGTGCCATCCCTGGGCACTGTGACTTGGGAGTGCATTATGTTCCTTCTCAGTTCCTACTGGTGCATGTCATAGTTTCCTTTTACGTTTCAGGACTATAGAGTACCATCATTTAAAAGAAACATTCCCCTATCTAATTCCACTGATCAGGAGTAAAGGATCACAGTTTGGAAGAAAGAGCATTGTTTTTCTTCTGTCCGTCCCCTAAGGGATGCTAAGGGAGTTTCGCTAGCTGAAGATGTTCCTATTCTCCCCGACCTATGGTTGTGATAATTTAGATTTGGTGGAGCTGTGCTCAAAACCATTCCAAAGTTTGGCCCTTCAGAATATTTGAAATGACCTACCTAAAAGTGTTGAAAAGCAAAACTGGAGCTGAAAGAAACAAAGGGGAAAAAATCTCTGCAGCTGGCTTTGCTACCACAGACAAAATGTTTACATGGATCTTGCTCATGCTCTGTTAGGCCTTACCATGCCTCATTAAAAGTGATGCTTCTGTGCCGACAGGTGTCCCTGAACATCCAGACGTGCACATCTGCCACTGTGGAAAGGAATGTGCTTCCTATGCGGACTTCAAGGCCCATTTGAGCAGCCATATTCACAACCACCTCCCCAGTCAGGGGCACAGCAGCAACCACGGGCCAAGCCACGGAAAGGAAAGGAAGTGGAAGTGCTCCATGTGCCCCCAGGCTTTCATCTCCCCTTCCAAGCTCCATGTCCACTTCATGGGGCACATGGGCATGAAGCCGCACAAGTGTGATTTCTGTAGCAAAGCTTTCAGTGATCCCAGCAACTTACGGACACACCTCAAGATACACACAGGTAAGGGCTGGGGGCTTTACAGAGATGCCTGTGCTAGGAAATCATTGGGGCAGGGTCAGTTTTCTCTGGTTCCATGGCCAGTTGGCAGAGCAGAGCTTGTGTCTGTAAATATAAGCTCTTAGAAACACAGAATCGTAAGAATGTTTTGGATCAAAAGGGGTCTTTAAAAATAATACTCCAGTATTCCCTACCATGGACAGAGACATCTTCAGCTAGATCAGTCACTCCAAGCCCCATCCAACTACCCTCGAACCCTTCTGCTCGCAAGAAGGACACTGGGTTTGAGAGCTGTTAATGTGGCCAGTTGTCCACTTAAATACAGGCCTGAGATCTTTCCTACTTGAACTGTTTTTTGTCTTAAGGAAATGGCATTAAACTGAAATTGGCAACTGTAGCGTCAGACTGATATGGATAAGGCTCAGCTCTGTCACACTCATCAAAACTGAACATGCTGTTGACTTCTGTGGGCATTGGGGTGTCACTAGAGACTCTCAGGATAAAGGGGGAATTGCCAGCAGATCAGGGAATGAGCACTAATAGAGGAAAACAAAATAGTGACAGATTTTTTAGTTGTGTAAGAAGAGAGGAAATATGAAAAGGCGTGGATTTAACACTGAGTGAGGACAGGGGAGAGGGTGAAGGGCAGGTTACAGACCAGCAATAGGCAGTGTGGGTATTTGCACCTCTTTTCTTTTTTTTTTTAGTAAGGTTTAAATACCTATTGGGAATCAGGGAATGCAAGTCACAAAGCTGGAAAAGGAATAAAACTGGGGATTTGGTGCCTCAAGTCAAGCATAGGAAGCTGTAGGCTCAGTAGTCAGGAGTTTTAATAAACTGATCAAGTACAAATGTGATATACACAACCTCAGAACAGTCAGTGGGGTGGGATTCAAATGGTATTCAAACTTAGTCTGAATTCAGTGGCATGCGGGGGTTTTGAACTATTTCTGGCAAAGAATAGTGGAAGAACTACAGATAAATGGAAAAATGGATTAAAACGCAGAAGTTATCAAAGAGCCAGTGAGCTCTGTACCTGTTTGTTAGATAAGGGAACTTGTTTTTGTAGACAAAGGCAATGCAGTGCTTCAAATGTGGCTGGGCTTCGGTAAGGCATCAGATACAGTTCCTATGGGATGTAGAGATGGGGATGTACTAATGTACAGTAACTAGATGGTTACCATGGTTACTATTACAAAGGAAGCTAACATTGTTTTTACTGAAGAATTCATCCTGGATAAGACTAGTCCTGTTACGTGTTTGCCTAAATCTCTTCACTGAAAAATTTATAGACCTACTAGGGCTGTTCTGATGTACAGAACAAGGAGACACAGTTGGTGTGGAAGAAGCAGAAAGCCTATCCCACAGGAAAGGCTGACTGACCATGAGCAGTGGAGGGAGAGGAATCAATGGTGTTTAGAAGGACAAAGTGCAGAAACGTGCATCACACAAGGGGCTCAGTGGTTTGAAACAGTATCATGAAGTTTTTTTGACTTGGGGGAATGGGGTGAGGGTTGAAAAGCTTGGGAAATGTTGAAATCAGATGCCTTTTTTCCATAGCTAAATCTAGACTGTGGAACTAAGTAGGCCTTTATTCTGAGTCTGAAGGAACTGCAGGAGGAAACAGGTCCTATTCACAAAGAACGTGCCTTTCTTCAGGATAAAATTTTATTTTTCAGCAGTGGTCAGGCTTCTTTGCTTCCCATATTTCTTGGGACACTGACTGTCAACTTGTTGGTGTATGTATGTAATCCCAGGTCAGAAGAACTACCGCTGTACCCTCTGTGACAAGTCCTTCACCCAGAAGGCCCACCTGGAATCGCACATGGTCATTCACACTGGGGAGAAGAACCTCAAGTGCGATTACTGCGAGAAGCTGTTCATGCGGAGGCAGGACCTCAAGCAGCACGTACTCACTCACACACAGTAAGTGATCTCACAGGGCGTGCTGGACTGGCCAGTGCAATAAATGGAGCTGAACAGCCCAAGAGAGAACCTCCAGTTTGCAAATAGTTTGGCCTAGGGAGTACAGATATGTTCACTCTCTAAAATGACAGAGAAGTCAGGCTGGACAAAGTCCTTGTTGTACTGGCTGCAGTTGTCCAGTTCTAAGTGTTTGCAGTGTTTTAATGACACAGTAAATTCCAAGCGTGCTACTTGTCTTGTGAAATGGCTGTCTGGAGTGTTCATCATTTTGAACAGAGAGGGGCGTTGTTTGACTTACATTTCATTCTTTGCTGAGAACTGCTTACACATCCCAACGTGACCACAAAGGACCATAAACTCCTCGCTGCTATTCTCACCAAGTAGCTTGTTAGTGAACTCTGCCTCTCTGCACTAGGGGTGGAGTGCTGCCATTCCCCGCCCTGCAGCTCTCACTCAAGCACTTGGTCTCCTGCTCCTTCTGTAGGCAGATCCCTCCCCACAGCCCTGTGCCAGGCCAGGTCTTTGCTCTGAGAATCTCTCTGCCCTGTATATTTACTCCCAATCAAAAAAAACATCAGGCCTAGTCTTTCAGACTTGCCCAAAGCTAGTTCCTTTGCTTATTTCATTTTTGGCATCTGGTTCTTTTCACTTGGAATCCACTGCTGCTTCTGTCATGCTGCCCAGGAGACAGTGTATTGCAGGGAGCATGAGTGAGAGAGACAGACAGACAGACAGACTTGCCTGGCTGCTTGTTCCTAGAGCCTGAGGCAGGAGCACTACTGCTGGGAGGTATTTTGCATTGTCATCTGCAGAATTTGTTGCATTTCCATCAGGGCAACATCTCTGCTCTTGCCAAAGCATGGGCCTTAACCAGTATTTTAATACTGTATCAGCTGCCTTGCAGGAGCAAACTCACTGTCTTATGTCTTGCAGAGAACGGCAGATCAAGTGCCCCAAGTGTGACAAGCTGTTTCTGAGGACAAATCACCTGAAGAAGCATCTCAATTCACATGAAGGAAAGAGGGACTACATCTGTGAAAAATGTTCCAAGGCTTATTTAACCAAATATCACCTCACTCGCCACCTAAAAATATGTAAAGGCCCCACATCCAGCTTGTCAGCCCCAGAGGAGGAAGAGGAGGAGGATTCAGAGGAAGAATTAATAGACTCTATGAGGACTGAAGACTGTAGGATTAATAACGGAGTCTATTCAACAGGTGATGCCCTCTCTGGACACAAATGAAGAAGAGAGGGGCATTTTCTTGGATAAGTAGGAAAGGAAAAAACCCTCTTCCTTGTTTCCCCAGTCAACAATGTGTGTCAGGTGAGGAGTTTTCCTTCTGTTTTGGTCTCCACACTACCACCACTTAATATACTCTGTAGCCAAAACACTGAACGAGACTGGATCATGCCTGTACAAGTGAAGAGTTGCTAAGAAGGAAATGTGAGGCAAAGAGATTTTTTTCACCCATGCTGTGCATACTTCTTTTCCAAATCACTCAGATTAATCCATCCAGTGTTGGGACACATCACACCTTGCATAGCCCTTTAAGCAAAAAGCCACAAACCAGAAATGTAGTTGAGCGATTGCAGTGACCTGTAAGCCAACTGTCCTTAACTGCCCAAGCCATGACATGAAGAGAAACAAACAAAAAATGGTGGTGGCTGTTGGTGTATTTTGTTTCTTTAAAACCTTTTAACTGAAGGATGTGGTTTGGCACAAAGCAAAAACTTAACAATGCTCAGGTTTCCTTCTTAAAACAAAACTCTTTTATTTAAAAAAAAAAAAGAAAGGCCAGTGAAATCAGCCCTTGCAAACACTGCCATTACCCCACTACAGAGAATCAAAGATTGGCTTTTGGATAACAGTTATTGCCTCCTCTCCCTCGAGTTCACTAGAATGTGTAAGCAGGTGAAGAGATAAAGACTGTATAGACTCAGTAAGGACAAGGCTTACAGACGATCAGGCAGTGTTTACAGTATACATTACTCCTTGTGCTGTAAACCTTTTACCACCTAGAATGATGGGAGGGTTTGCTGCTAATATTATTTATGGAATGAAGATTATTACTTGGTTGTTTTCTTTTGAAATAATTAAAAATGTGGCTCTTCTCAAATGTTGCTTTTTTAATAATTACGTATTCTGAAAAAAAGTTCCTATTTCTATAAATACGCTAAGAGAAATAACAACACTTTTTAATCATCTGCCTCTCACAAGCTTTCCTGGGATATGAGAGGGTACAGATAGGAGCACCTCCATGAACAGGTGCAGCTGAAGAACTGGTCTTTAAGCCCTGCAGATTTGCTGTGTCATTTCTCTGGCTGTGCTGCAAAAGAAGAGTCAGCTGAGCTCTGTTTTCTTGACAAGGTAATTGGAGGTTCCCTTGTGAAAGAGGCTCTGCTTCTTGCCCTAAAGGGCCCAAGCTCAGCTGTACTTTTCTCTGTCCCCCATATTTCCTTGAGAGCTCCCAGGGTTCTTAACAAAAAATGCTTGCCCTCAGATCACTATGTGACTAAAAAGCTCCAGAGACAAGTTGTGGGATTTTGTTAAGGGAAAGATGTGTTGCTTCCAGTGATGCAGTTTCTTCCTAAAACAAAAAGCAACTTCTAGAGCTACAGTGCCAATTATAATGCTAGAGGTATAAGAGAAATCACTACCCTCAAAGAGCTTAACACAAAGCATTTATTTCAAATTAAAGCTTTAAAAAACTTCAAGCTTTTCACTGGAGAGCACTTGAACAGAAGTTGTTCTGGTGCTTCCACACATCACTCACTACTGCTTGGCGGAGACAGGAGGAAGGCAGGAATTCCAACCCATCCTGAATATTCCTGGTTCCTGCAGAGCCATGCTGAACACCTGTCACCAGACTAGAAACAGCTGAAGTGGATTTAGAAGCAGCCACTTACTTACCCTCGAGGGATAGGAAGGAAAGCTCCAGCCCTTTTCCCCACCCTTTTTCCCATCTGCAGTTTGTAGTGATACAATTTACCTGCCTCATCTCACCGGAGTGAGTTACAGCGTGTTAGGGTGGAAAGCAGTGGGAAGCGCTTGTCAGCTATGAGCCGTGACAGTACAGCTGCTTTGATAGCAGTAGCTTTAATACCCAGGGCATTTTGCAGACACCTTCGGAGTGGGAAGCACTTCACAGGAGGGTAAGAGGATCATTTAACTTCTTGGCCTGGGGTAAGGCACTTGGGTGTTCCACTTTAAATGCAAGGAAATTGTTGGAGTCACAATCCTTGATTAGGTTCCTGATGCTGGAAACAAAGTGCATTAGCTGGTGGTTTGGCTGAGACTCAAAACGTTCCTGTGCCTTCAGGTGCTGGGCATAAATGCCTGGGCGAAGTGACGAACACGAGTACGTAACACAGAGCTTTCACCAGAGACAGGGACCTGCTGAGATCCCAGCCCTCACTTTGTGTCCTGACAGCTTCTCATCCTTTCCAAGTAGCAGCTCCTTCTTTCAGTTCAAATTCTCTTAAAGTATATTACAGTTGGAGCTTGAAGAAAAACTCAATACCATGTGCAACATCAGTTGGCTTCAGGTGCTGTGGAACCAGGCAAAAGAAACACCCAGTCTTGATGGATGGAGCTGGGATATTTCTGGTTTGATATTGGTTAGCTGAATGTTAGAAATACATTTCAAGATTCTACTTGGGGACACTATTTATTGCCTGAGAACTACTCTTAAGATTTAAAAAGTTACATGGAAGATATTTTAAAATTTGTATTAGAAATCTATAAGCCTAGCCTCAAGGATAAATTATCTATTTACACTTGTCATTTCATTCAGCTTTTGTTTATTTATTACACAACTGTCACGTGAAGTATTTTTTCTTGGGCCCTTAGAAGATAGAAGATCAAAACCTTTGCAGTATTTAACAAACTTCTGGTAGCCACAGAATGCTTTTCTAGTGACTGTTGCATTTCATATGTCAGCTTTACACATGGTAGCCCCTGTTTCAGGGATCATCATCTCAGGCAAAAGCAAGTGATTTAATCTTTCAAAGCCAGAAATAAGAGGCAGGAACTTAAGAGCTTAACCACACCACCGCGTCTGAGATGAAGAAGCCTGCAGACTGCAAAACACCAGAGCCATTTCCGTGAACTCTCACCTAACAGGCATTTGTAGAATATACATTAGTCATAGTCCCATTAATTACTCCATTTTTTTGATGTTTGGTCCATCATGACTCCATTGCTGTCTCCGAGTCGTTGCTGTTCCTGCTGGCTGTGGAGCTGGAAGCCACGGAGTTGGCACTAGCCAGAACCAGTCTCTCTCTGTTTCCAAAAACTTCATTCACTGCAAGACAAAACAGAGGATTGCTTACATGTTACTCTCCCAGAGACGAGTACAGCAGGTAGAGCACAGTGAACACCATGAAATGGAATGGAAGTCCTAACCTGGTGCAGTTTCAAAGCTTTTCCCCTTGCCCCAAGTAGGGAGTTGAAGGCTACGTGTCAGAAAAATCATCTGCATATGATACTTTATTACAATTTCTGTTGTTTTTTCCCCCAGAGCATCTAGAGGTTTCCCTCTGCATAATTCTGTACCCAAGTACTGTGAAATGGATGAGGTTTGAAGAGCACAGCATTAAGTTTAATTCATTTCTGGTTTTAGTCTCTCTGGTTTCCACCAAGCTCTTAAAAACCTTCTCCAAAAATTCATGCCCTTTAGTTACATGTAGCTACAATAACTTATCAACCCAGTCCTCACTTTTATTCCCACAAGTACTCAAAGAATGTGATACCTGATTACACCAGGAACATTAAGAAAAAAATTAAACATAGATATAAGAAATCAGTTGTTACACTTCAGCTACAAGAAAATAAATCATCTCAAACAGTTCTCCAGTTTAGAGAAAAAAACCACAACTTTTTGAAGATGAGAACGTGAACACATAACCAGTCATGGGGTATGTAAAAATACTAACTTACAGTTTCTCTCAGAGACACACTACATTACTGAATACAAATACATCCTGCAGGCAAGGGGAGAACCACAATATTCAAAGAAACGAGAACATTACCTGCAGAAATCTTGCTTATATCCCAAACACGCAGCCCTTCTCGCTCTCCTCCAAAGGCAAAAACAAACGGGAAGTCAGGGCAGCAAGCAGCACAGAAGAGAACACCCTGGGAGAGTGGAAGAAAGAAGAGGATTTTTTTTTTTTTTTTCAAATATCATCCTAAAATGAATTTGTCATCTGAAAATACTTTCTACCGAGCAAGTTGTAACAAATGTTAACAAAACTCTTCAAGTTTCCCGAAACTTCTTTTGTAAAGACACAAAATGAAAGTCAAGAGCTGCTAATTATAAACAGTAAATCACATCTTTGTCTTGAATGTGGCAGGTGCAGGTTTGAGCACCTATAGTTCTACTCAGAACATTCTATCTGGAATTTGAGTCTGAGGCTTTGAAGCAGTCTGCCAGTTCCAAGTTGAATACTGCACTGTAATGAGAATGATTTACCCAGAATATACAGATGGTGTTTTTTTCCCTAAAATATGTTAGGTAAAACAAGATTCAAACTAGACAAAAAAAGAATAAGCAGACATAGTTTATATATAAAACTTATTGGAATCAAGAAATAAATATTACTATACCATTTTCATATCCCTGGAATGGATTAAACTTGGTCTGTCTCCCAGGATGTCCCAAATTTTCACATATTTGTCAGCAGATGATGTCACAAGGCATCCTTTGACTTGACTGCTTAGTTGTAGCCCTGGAAGATTAAGAGTGCAGCCATGTGAGAACCACAGAGATGAGGATACATTTTGAAGTGAAGTCAGGAGAACAACCTTAGCATTCTCCTCACACTAAACTCAATTCCAGCACAAAGGAGCAAAATATGAAATTTTTATCCTGCTCCCTGTAGGGAGACCAAAAAGAATCACGTAGGCCTATTTTGTCTCTCAATCCAACAGTAACAGTGCCATGACGTGCTTGTTCTACTTCTTCCTTCACATTATCTGCTTCTCCAAGTAGCTTTCTTCATTCTTTTGCAAAGACCATCTTGCTTGCTGTCCAAGATGATGGGACATATTCATACAATCTCATTTTAGACATCTGATCAGGGACTTCAAGTTCCTTTTTGGAAGCTCCTACACTGATCAAATTAAAGTAGCCTAAAGGAGGCAGTGTGAAGACCTTCCCGTGTGCCATACCTAAATCATTCTCAGAGTGAATGTCAGTATAAAATAATTACAGAGGTAGGAGGTAAACATTATAGTTCATAATCCTAGACCGGATTCCATAATTTTTGTATTTTCTCATCCAAAAAAACCAAAACCAAACCACAAGGAGTGTGTCCCAAGTGAATTAGTCTGTTTTTACATGCTTACTCACCACAGTCACTGAGGAAAGTTCACTCTTGTTAAATTACTTAGCTTACAATGGCTTCTCAGCAGAGATTTGTTTCACATGCCAGCTACCATGATTAGCACGCGTGACTTATTTGTTAAACAAGGAATCAGTACCACCTCAGTCCTGTAGGTTAAAGGCATCTTCCAGATGTGCCTTGCCCCTGGGGACAAACAGGACACACAGACGATTTACCTGACACCTCTTCATCGTGGGCTTTCAGAGTAAACAGGGGCTTATCAGAACGAGCATCCAGACAGTACACAAAACCATCCTCTGTGCTTGCCTGAGGAAACCACAACATTTAAAAAACAAACAATCATTGTCATTCATTTGGAAAAAAACTTCCTATGAAATAACACCCACCCTCTAATAAATCCCTGTGATCTGAGGCAGACACTGCTCTGTAGGGCATGTTATACTCTTCCCAGGCCTGAGCCTCCAAAGTCAGACTCCATCCACTTGCTGCCTGAGCCATTCTGTGTACCTAAACTATGCTGCACTGAATTAGAGGGAAATCTTAATCATATATAGATTTCTTGAAGTGTACTTTGAAGACAGTTGCTCTGATAAGCTTGGCCCCCATGTTAGGCAATGAAATACAAAGCTTTTAGTCTCTTCACTGCCAGTTCAAAGTTTTTGGAGCCATCCAGTGGTCCTGTGCAAAGCTAAGTGTGATTATACCGAGAGATCTGCATCATAAACCCAACAGAACTGAGCAACCACTTCTGCTGGCTATATACACAAAGCAACAGAGGACTAGACAGCCACTGAGATGATAAAGATTTCTTTTTAAATTATGTTGAAAAGTTCTATTGTAAAAATCCTGACAAAACCAAGGTACTTCTACTCTATACTCTAGGTGGGGGTTGGTCTCTTCTCCCAGGTAACAATAGGATAACGGAAAATGCCTCAAGTTGCACCAGGGAAGGTTTAGATTGGATATTAAGAAAAACCTGCTGAAAGGGTTGTCAAGCACTGGCACAGGCTTCCAGGTAAGTGGTGGAATCCCCACCCCTGGAGGTATTTAAAAGCCATGTAGATGAGGCACTTATGGACATGGTTTAGTGGTGGACTTGGCAGTGCTGGGTTAATGGTTGGACTTGACCTCGGAAGTCTTTTCCGACCGAAACAAGTGGATCGTTCCATACCAGCCAGGAGGACAGTGCCCTCTAGCGCTGGCTTGAAACACTGGATCAACATTCGGGATCTTAGTGCTAATGAGCTACTTCTCAGGAGCAGCTGCCTCGTTACATGAAACACAACAGCAACTATGCAGAGAAAAATATATCCTGGCCACTGAACACTGTAACAACATGACACAGACGCCACCTCCGGAGTGTAAAAGGAGCAGCATCAATACCTTTTCTACTGTCACAATGAGGATACCAAATAAGTAGCTGGTCCCAATATACCTATTGAAAAAACTGCTTAAAAACATCCTCCCCTAGACTGCATTTTCATAAAAAGCAGCACAAACCACATAACTGTCCATCAGCTCTGTTATGATTCAGAAACAGTATGAACACAAAAATACAGATTAAAACAGCCCAAGAATAGAAGAGCATGTACTCACTAAGAAATGACAAGGTGAAAAGTGATTCCAAATGACTCTCTCAACCTGACCACTAAACCTCCACACTCGATGGTTATCTTGGGGGTTTCTGCAATCATACAGCACCGCTGATCTATGGGAAAAAGGGACAGGAAATAAAATTTAGAAAACAAAAATCAGGGCAGAGCACTTTGTGACATAGTTTGTTTTACCACTGGCATCTAAAGAAGCTCCATGTAATTAAAACGGAAACAACTTCACCATTTAGTCTTCCAATTCAATAACAGATTAAAATCTCGCAGATAAGCACAAGCTTTTTCCATGTACTTCAAAGTTTCGTCTTGGTTATGAACAGCCGTTCTATTGAAACTAAGCAAACAGAGCTTGAATTTACTCAATATGTAAGATACTTACCACATAGGAGACCATAATTATGCAAATATATCACTTAATTATGAACAGACTTCAGTAAAGTCAAGTAATGATGTACTAATTAGAAAATAATTTTGTGATACATATTAACAATTTTCAAATATGCTTTAATAAAAAGAAATTAAAAAAAAAAAACCCCAGTCTTTACAAGTACTTAGAGAAACACCACTCCAAAAAGGAGAGTGTGGATGGAAGTTAGTGGGTCCTCTGGGGTTCTTTACAGACACGTGCTGAGCCCAGTGGCTGCAGAATCTGTCCCAACTCAAAAAGTTCCAGGGTGCAAATGCAAGGGAGGAGTGGTCATGTCAAGTGCAGCGACATCTCACCACGATCAACATCCACAGTGGAACCTGCTCCCACCCTATGCCATAATTAAAGCAAAAGCTCTTTCACCAGGCATTTTACACAACACCTTTTTTAACAGTCTGATTTTCAGGCTATGAAGTCATCTGCCAATATTCACTGAATAGCCTGCAGTCCTGGCAAGGCTCTGCAGGAAAAATCCACAAAGGCAGTCTACTGGTTTATAGAGGTCCGTGGTATCAAAGGGATAGCCAAAGAGGGATCGACTAGCTGGTCTCAGCATTTGGACTTTATGCTTCCTTTTATCAAAGGAAGGTGAGGGAAAGGAAATAAAGAGAAGCAGCTTCCTAACAAGCAGCAAAAGGTTTTTCTCCGATACTTTCACTTAAGCAGATGCAGCAAGAGCGTAACAGAAGCCAGGGAACACGAAGGCTTGGCTGAAGACTGACAAGTCTATAAATATTTTAACACAAGGACAAAGTCTTAAAAGCAGAATAAAAAAATTCAACTTAAGAAAATCATGGTTATAGAACAAAACTTAAAGTTACCCCATTGAGATGGGAGAACAGAGAGGAAGTTTTTTAGCTGGCAGGGCTTGTAAGAACTGGCAGTTACAGAGTTAGTCCAAGCTTGCAGACACAAACCTTTTCTGAGCATATCCAGGCTGCAATCAGAGGAGACAGCCCTTTACACTTTGGCTATGGCATGGCTAGAGAAGCTGTAGGGAGTGGTCTGGGATTTTAAAGTCCCTCGTGCCCCTGCCCTGGCCTTACAGGTTGGCAAAACCTGGGCAAGTTTTCATGGGAATAAAAAGTGACACACTTAAAATGCAGAAAATCCCATAAGGACAAATAAAGAAATAAATTCAGTCTGGAACAGACACCTGGCACAGAAAATGTCAGTCCAGATGGTTAAAGCATTTGGCTGCCTCCAAAAAAGAGGTAAGGAAAACTACATTTTGTCCACATACAAACCTGGCTAGCTTGCTGGAAAAAAATAACAGCATTACTCAAATAGGCAGAGTTATAAAAAAATTAAAAAGAAAACACAAGACAACCTAACGGGCTTAATTGAATACGAATACCCTCCCTGCGTGCAACATTTGAAAACATTACCCCGACATACTTATCGAAAGATCCAGAAATAAGGGTCTGAGTTTCAAACGGATGAAACTGCAATGTCTGCACCTGGATAATGCAAGATTTTATATAACACACATACACAGGAACTTTCTTGGAACAAAGCACAATCACCCCTTCCCCAAGCCAGCACATTTTCCCCCCAAAAAACTATCCTCGTGAGCTTGTTGATACTCTGCTCATAAAATAGCGCAAGAGATGCACATTGCTTCAAACACCCCCACCAGGTGGAAACAAGATACTTTCCAATATAATGTAACTGAACAGGATCCCCTGCCCCCTTTCTGCCCTAGAGTAAAACAAAACAAACCAAACCAAACCCCAAAAAACCAACAAAAAAAAAATCGCTGGAGGAGGTAAAGTAATATCTGTTTCCAGTATGGGGGGAAAAAAAGCAGATGTTAACAGAAAATGAACATCAAGAGTTTGTCAAGGGCAGTGACTTTGTTAAGAAGCAAAATAAGGTTACAACTATTAATAGCTAGCCTTCACATTTTAATTACTATGAGATTAATTCATTTCTGAAGTACCCATCACTGTGGTATTTTAGTATCATTTATTTTAAACCTTTTTCACCTAGAACAAACTGTAACTGACACTCGTTGTTCCCTTAAGAGAGAGTTACAGTTTGACCTCTGCTCAGACATCTATTTTTGTAGCTTTTACCAGCATTATTAGATTCTCCATCATTAGGGCTTTCACAAAAAGGCATTTTAAAAACTGCTGTAAATCTTTGCTAACTTTCTAAAGGATGAGTTAGACAACATTTTAAAAAGCAAATACAGTGTTGTTTGCAAAAGCAACTAATTAAGAAACTTAAACAATTCTGCACATTTGTTAGAAAATTACAGAATTGTTGTTCTAAGGGTTCAGTACCAAGCAGTTAAGGAAAAACTGAAGTTATTTTTTTCCTCTGTATTTTACCGAAACACAGCAATTATTACATACCTTGTCTGTATGCAGCGTCAGGCTGGCTGCTGGCTTACCCACAGACATATCCCACAGAATCACAGTATTGTCAGCAGATGCACTTGCTAAAACATTCCTGATAATGCACCAAAAAATCAGTGTTAAAAGTCTTTATGCAAATAAATAATGGTGAAAAATCCAAAATACATATAGAGCCCAACTCTGAGAGCAAGTACACTCTGGTCTATAGACTGTGTCTCTCAAGCCTGAGGATTAACTCCTGGAAGGCAATTGTAAGTTGCAAGTAAAGACTGCAAATAGGCTAAATTACATTACATTAGTAGAACACTCATACCAACAACGACAGCTCTGCTTGTATTTCCCCCTGACATCACTTAAAGTATCATTTACTCGAAGATTTCTCAAAAAACCCCAAAGTAATAAAGGCTTTAAGGCACTTTCTTTCCTTTGACATTAAATACTATTTTACTACTATTACATATGCAACTTAGTTTTATTTGCATACAGCCAAGAGCCAGACAAACCTGTTCTTAAAGCTATTTTGCTAATATCTGACTGTTTATATAACTACTAGAGACCCAACACAGTACACCCTTCATAGACTGCTGAAGGTAATCACTAAAATTTGTTAGTTTACTGACCCCACCATTTCAACTTGAATTAGACCAATTGTGTTAAGAGCTATAAACAGTTTAGAAGTTGAATCAGAAAAAAAAAAAATCAAAACATTCCCAAAGGCCTGTCAAATACACAGAACAATTTCTACCACTGCTTCACTGTTCTTAAAATCAGATCTAATACCTCAACACGTTCCTTCTGACTGAAACTGCTTCTCCCTCCCCTTTTTACATTAACCAAGTGTTTCTGACTGAAAGAGTTAACATTCTCCTGAAAATGCTGTTTTCCCAAGCAATATGTTACAAGGGAAAGTTAAGAAAATGCACAGTGAAGGCTGTAAGAACATTTTACAGTAACACCATTGTGACCTACAGGCAGAAAGTTATTTGTAGAGAGCTGTCATAACATGTCTTGCTTAAAAGAAAGAAACAACAAAAAAACCCCATTTGAAATATAAGCTGCTCCAAGGAGTTCCTCGTTTTGTCCATAACCTTCCCTCTTCAGGGCTGTTTTTATTTCCTGAAAGATCTACCAAGATCAATGAATTGTAACTCAGCACGTTACAGAATGACTGCATTTCAGACACTTAGCAACTGAAACCATAATTTTTTCTATACTTGTCTACATATTATTACCAGACAATCATTTCTGGGTACATGAAATCTACTCTTTCTGTAAGACTGATGGACTGATCACTACATTCTTTGTCCACATGTATAATTTAAGAACAATAGACACAACACTGTAAATTAAGAGTGTTATTTATGTACATTTACTGAGGTCCACGTGGGTGTTTCCTTCTGTAGTATCTAGATAAGAAAGCATTACAAGTGAAGGCTTACACCTGCCCATCACAGTATTCAGAGTTGACTACGCTCATCTTCAGAGGAAGAGGCATCTCTGACAACAGGAATAGAAAAATTAAAAAATTTACAAACAAAATAGATTAGCCTGTGTCTGACTGGAGCAGTTTCAAGACCCATGCTGAGGATCCTCTGACAGATGAACTGTTAACAACCACCTAAGTGATAAAAACACAGCAGCATCTTCACTTCAGTCAGCACGTTGTCCTTGACCTCTGGCCCCAGACGGGCCAGCTTTGTGTTGCTTCAATAGCAGCACTTCACTGCTAGTTCATTCAGGCAACAGGGAGTTCTCTCTGCCAAGGATAACCCAAAGGCTAAAGGCATTTCATTTCTGTAACTGTGCTATTAGGGCTGTTACACTCTCTCTTCTGTTCACAGCTCTGGGGCAAAAGCCAGAGGGGAAAAAAACAGAATAGCAAAACCCTTCTTCTATAAATCTACTTGTATCTCGTGAAATGGTGTCTTAGGTCACTGCCAGATCAGTACAGCTCTGGGCAGCCCTTCTGCTTCTCCAGTCTTGTACATGTGAAATGTAGGCGATTTATCAAATGGCTCAGATCCACCTCTGCCCTGCCTTTGGCTGCACAACCTGCAAATAAAAAGTGATCTGCAGCAATATATAAGTACTTTAAAAAAAATAATCAAGAGTTCTGGTTTAAAAAAAGAATAAAATGGGGGTGTATTTTTAAGAATGGATTCATTTCAGCAAGGCTTTCAAGTTTTTGGATTTTGAGTGCAAATTGTGTGCCTAATTAAGAATGTAAATTTGTAACATCCATTGGTATACAAGCGTTCTTTTACCTGCTTTGTTTATTCCAGGAAAGATCAAGCACAGCATCAGTATGTCCTTCCACGGTCCCCTCTGAAGATAAACTCTGTGTACACACATACAACATAAACTTGAAAATTACAGCTTCAGTGCAAAACAAGCATCACTCCACATTAGCATGAATTCGTTAATGTCTTCACAAACAAGTTCATATTAAATTACTCTCCCTTGCTGTAACACAGCTTTGGAGAGAACTGCCTCTGCACTGCCTGCACCTTGCCTCCTACCCCAGATCTCAGATTGCTCCATTCACAGCTGGTGGGGCTCACAGAACTGGTTATTCCCTTCGGGCTTGTAAAAGAAATCTCATTGTTTCCAGCTAACATGCAACTTCTTCAGCTTGTTTCTAAACACTCCTGGCAGCTCCCTCTCTCACCTCCCAGTTAACTGAGCTTTAGGTCCTTGTAACTGCCAGCTCCTGGAAATTCTAATTTCAAATGGTTAAGATTCAAAGCTTACTGGGACAGCAACTGGAAATCAACCATAAGCCACCTCACTCCTGTTCTGCTCTTAATTCCAGGCTTTAATTACTCAAAGAACAATTAGCATTTCAAATACTGTAGGAAAAAAAACCTGCATTCTCTCTACCCTAAGTTTCATCCATCCAAGCAGACAAATAATTTTACAATACTTACTTTCTTTCCTTTTTTTTTCTTCTTTTTCTCTTTCTTGCCTCCAAGAGAAAACACTGGTTCTAGGGATTCTACTACATCAAGGTCCCAAACGTCAATAACTGGGGTCATGTTACCCACTGCAACATAATTTCCTACAAGCAGAAACCCAAATTCAACCACACTGATTTAGATTTATGAAACATCATATTTGGCAATCCAGCTGTTGCTTATTTCTTTGATTAAATAGAACTTATGTGCCACAATCTTTTATTTGAACATATTTGATCTTTATAACTGACAAAGAGCAATCAAAAAATATCAGTTGCCAGAAAAAAAATTGACTTGGTTTTCTTCCCCTTCAGTACAAGTAACTGATCAAAGAAGTTGAATAAAGTTCCATGTTTTGTTTGTTTTTAAAGGAAAAAACAAACCAAAACAAAACCACATCCCCTGTACTATGGGAAAAGAAAGTATCTGTAAAACACAGGAAAAAGATTACTAAATACATAAATATATATAAATTTTTCTGTAGTTTACAGTTAATCATTGCATTGGACATAATGAATTTAAACAAATGCAACCTTTCATTTGCAAATGGAATATAAAGCAGATTATAGAAGAGCTTGCTCTCGTCTGCTAATTGACAATAACTTAAATACTTGTAATAAACCCAGTATTTTTGTCAAATCACTTGTTACAGAAACATCACTAAAATGACTGTATCACCAAACCAAAACACCTGATACTCAGTTTATCCTTCTTCACATCTTGGTTTTATTTCTGTTTATACCTCTGGAAGAAATCATTTAGTGACAACATTACATTTATATACTTTGCAAGTACAAATTACTTAACTGGACATTTATAGTATTCTTTGTAATTTACCTGTTGATTCATCTGGATTAGGATCAAAATTCAACCACTCCAGACTTAGAGGGTAAGCAGGCAAGATAATATCATGATGTACATAAAATGAGTCCTCTTCATGATTATAAACTGAAAAATAATTGAAGTTATACAAGACATCAGTGCAGAGGAAAAGTAAACAACTATAAAACACTTCACTTCTGCAAAAGGCAGACGTGGCAAAGACTAAATGTAAAGGAGATCTAGAACATAAATTTGCAGTGTGTTCAGAGTTTTAGTGTAGAGGCCAGACCTTCTAAGTACAAACGTTATACTTAACAAAATTACACAAAATGAACATTCTCCCATGTACTTTAGATAAAGAAGTGAAAAGTTCAGCAAAGGTGCAATACTTTATTCCTAGCACACCACACTACTTTATTTGTAAGATCACTTCAAAAGAGATGCTCCATATCCAGCACTTTCTACATCAGAAGACATTAATGGAGATTCAGACATTCACTTTACAGAATTAGCAATTAAAAAAAATAAAGTAATTCCAGATGAAATTTAAGTGGAAATGAAAGTAAAAGACAAACAATTTCCAAAGCAGAGGAGGCTGAAGAAGTCAGAAGCTGCCTTTAGCAGGTAGTACTGAGATACAGGAAGAGTTTTGATATAGCACCCATATCCTAAACACAGCATTCCCTGCAGCCAGCTGTTTTTCTCTTAATAAAATGACTTACTAAGTGGATAGCAAAGAAAAAACATTAATTATTTTAATAATATGCTGCCATCACACACACAAAATTACTGTGCCATTTTTAAGTGCATGTGACACATGTTCAGATAACTAACTGAAGTTTTCAGTTAACCAAGTTGTCTTAGTCGTTAAGTAAGTGGTTACCCAATGTTAGAAACTGCAGAAGCATTTGCTATTGTTTTTCAAGTTTACACTGGGGAAAATGACACAGTTAATAAAGATGCTGTTATCTGAAGAGATGCTGTCAAACATTTTGGTCATGTTTCTTGCTTAAAATGAAATATTTCCCTTGCAGAAACATGGACCATTGCACAGGTAGGCAGAACCACTCCCAGAAAGAACCATGGTAAGAAAAGATGATTAATTTCAGCACACTCAGCACTCCTTGCTGCAACAGTAAAATCTCTTACACAGCACAATTAAACCTATTGCTAGAAAAAAGCAGTTGTCAGACCATATTAAGGACCATCTCTTCTAAAAACTATGTTGATAAAGGTGCTGATTCTTCTACTCCTAGCAGTGGAAAGCCCATTTAAAGCAGCAAGGAGAAAGATGAAGGAAAAAACCCAACAAAATAACAAACCACTAGGGGATGCTTGCAGGATATGGAAAGTAAGACTGGAAGAAAGATTGTATGTTCAAAGAATAAAAATGCCATCGTATTTTCTAAGCGTCATAAGAAATTAAATAAGGAAAAGAAATGCTATACAGCCTGAAAGAGGCAAGCTATCCTCTAAATAACAATAACTCCACATGAAATATTCTATTCCTGGAAAGTGGCTAAAGGAAAAAACACAGAGCAGAAGGGGAGAAAAAAATCCTACAAAACCAAACCCACTCCCTCTTTGACACAACCATATGGCACAGGCTAGGCAAGATATATTAACTACATTCGCTGTAAAGAACAAATCCTATTTCACTTACCATGGACCTCCAAACTACAGCAGTCTTTATCAACTCTGCCACAAAGGACAAGATTGTCAGTGGGCTTGATCAAAAAGTCCTCCTGTTCATATTGCTCCTGAACAGCAAAAAGGAGAGGACAAGGGATGCTGAGCCATGCATGGAAATGCACAAAACTACACATGCTCAAAAGGTTGAATCAATTAGTCATTTTTAACCATAACAGAAAACAGTCAAAATCCAACACCCCAATGCCCACCTGCCTAAAACCATCCTATGGTGATAACCCAGAGAAAGGCAGGAACCAGACCCGATTCCGGGGAGATTGAATAGAGTCATTAAATAAATTGAAGGAATTTGTATGTGGACGTACCTGGATTTGTAAACATCTTTAATTACCAAATATGAAACCATATTTCAAGGCTATCATGATGCAGCCCACTGCTGAAAAGCACAGTCAGGACATACAAAGCAAGCTTATTTCCCTCTTGCTCCTGCCCCTTGACCATTTATGTAGAATAACAGCATTTTACCCAATAAAGATCCTGCAATTGCTCCTCACATCCAGGAAGTAATTCCAAGAGCATCAAAGCACTGTCTATTTCCTGGAAAATATTTCCCAAAAAGTACTGCCCACAGCTCTACTGGACATTTAACTATACCAGAACAGATGTGACCTCCTCGTCTGACATTCACTGTTACTGAGGAATGAAAAGGCATTTGGGAATTTTCTGTTCGTGAAAAACAAAGAACTGTACCTAAGTCAATAGTCTCTCACAAGAGTACCATCCTTCAAATATACACCACGTACAAGACTTTTGGGACTTCTCGTTGCAAGCTTTTAATTTCTTTTTTATTGTCTTCAAGCATATTTCAATATTTGAATTCTATCAAGTCCTACAATTATTTGAATTAATTAACTTAATGTTACATAATACTTAGTCTTCAACAGTACCACCAAAAGACAACACAAAATGCATGTTGAAAAACTTGCAGAATTCGAGGAAAGAACTTAAGCATAGGAAGAAAGGCCTGAGAAAAAGGTGTTCACTTACTGTATATCTGGAAAAAGTTAGCTATTCTGACACAAAATAAATGCAGATCATATTTCATCACACATTTTCTGTGTCCTACTAGACAGGAGAAAAACCACTCTGCATGGTTTAAATAACGAGCCAGTTCACTTAACCTCCGACTTAAATGCAAAAGGCACACAAAGAAGGGGTACACAAAGAAAAAAGTTCAGTCTGATCAAAAATCTGGCACACCTGTGAAAAAGGACTGCAAGCACTTACAGACCCTGAGGCAGTGTGGAAAATTCAACTGATTTTTAAGTTTACGCTGTTTAAGATACTGGACATTTTTTAAGTACTTACAGTGGTTTTTAGAGTGATGTAAGGATCATTATCATTACTCCCATATACTGCCAGAGTAGCCAAAGAGTCTCCAAGTTGTAAATCACCTAGAGGGGAATTTCAGAACACTTTTTAGACGTGTCAGTGACAGGTACAGGAACTCCCGTATCCTACCTGTATTACCTATACTGCAAAATATCAGGAGTGGGCTAAATGAACTTCCAAGTTTCAAACCCAAGTACCTTGGTAAGCTAAATTGCTTAAGAGTTTTCAGGGACTTCTGCTGCTCTGCTCCAGCATCACAGCAGAGGGAGTGACAATCTTTCCAACAAGCTCTCAGTTTTACTGTCAGGGAGAGGGACAGTGATTTGCTTCCCTCTCTAAATGACTTCTGAAGCTGGGACGAGCAAATTATTAAAAATGCAAATTTCCAGCCTCTGAAACTTAACACTGTGTACTTTTAGGGTATTAAGGTCTTAAGTACAACAAGAAGTGGAAAGGTTCTTCACTTGCACTGCATATCTGATGTACAAATTTTTCTTACCTGTGTATTCCTCTTTGTCGTAATTTTCCAAATCATATTCATCCAGTTCATGATCAGACAGGTCTCCGTTGTTATGGGAAGACTGAGAGCTGCCAGGAACGGCCACATTCGCATCCCCTGCCGTCTGACCTTCATTGCTGCCACCAGCACCATCCCTGTGGAGAGACACACATCCCTGAGAAACTGTGACAGACGTGTACAATGCTTCCAGGTAACTACTTAGGGCACTGCTGTCCAGATTTCAGCGCACAGTCCCAGCTGTTCGCATGGGTTTCAAGTCTTTATGCCAATAATTTGGAAATCCGTTCACTCCTTCCCGATCTTTTCCCAAAATACAAGGCACTGTTATTCTCAGCCTTTCAGAGAAAGTTTTCCTTGAAAGCTTTTATGATAAAATGTGGCATGAATTTTGCTCAACAAGCTAAACTGCACATTTCTGAACCTCACTTCTGTGTATTCACGTGTCCAATTCATTCCTTCCTTCCTTTTCCCCCTGCCGCCCAGGCCCTGACATCTTTAAGATTTTTAAAACTTCATTTCCTCACACTTTCCATAAATAAAAGAAAAAAAAAACCACCAAAAACTAAAATTCATTAGGTAAGGATATTTGTAGATTACTTCTTATGGGGTAAACTATGCAACATTAAACAGTGGTTGAGAACACAACAGACATCTAAGGTGTCTCAGTGGAATATGCTCCACAGAAACTCATCCCTGCTGAATACAATGCATTTCTGTCCCTCTGCATGCAAAATCCCCAAGCAACAACGAGCCAAGGCAGTTCTCAGATACGATCCCTGAATTAAATACCTGAAGCCTATTCTTCTAATTTGTTCACTCAAATAAACACTTCATATTAACAAGACAACTAGAGACAAGTAACAAGATAATGAGAAACTCTGAGTTTGATTTGAGATCTTTGCACAGGGCAAAATGGTGAGGTGTTGTAACAGATATGAAGTAGCAGCAATTATAAATAGTTTATAACACCTCTGGTTGTTCCCGATGGTCGTTAAATTTCCATCCAGAAGTTTTACAGACTGTGTAACAAACAACACCTCAGATCATTCCACGCTTTTGAAACAGCACGAGAAAGGAAACCACTCGAAAAGCCGAAAGTTCACACGCATAAAGGGGAAACAAGTTTAACACCACAGCCCACAGCTTCGGCGTTCTCAGCACCACGCTCCGGCGAGCTGAGCTGATCTCAGAGGAATTCCACCCCCGCCCCGCCGCCCCGGCTCACCCCAGCCTGTCCTGCGCCTCCTCGATGAGACCCTTCAGCTCCTCCTCGCTGAGCTGCACCTGCGGGGCGGACACACAGAGGGGTGAGGGCGGCGGGGGGAGCGGGCGGGGGTTCCCCGGCCCGGCCGCAGCCCCAGCCCCGGCCGCACCTTGTCGGGGCTCTCCCTGGCCACGCCGCGCCGCACCCAGGCAGCGCACGGCACCGGGCAGCTCATGGCGGCACCGCCCACACGTGCCGCGCTCCGGCGCGCAACAGTGACGTCACAGCGGGAGGGGCCGCCCGCCACGGCGGGGGCGGGGACAGCGGGGTGGCGTCATCACAGAGCGACGAGATAGCCGGGAGGGAGGGGCTACAAGGGAAGGGCGGGGCCTGCGCGGGCGGGGCGGGGTCACCTGAGGGGCACGGCGGGGACACGGCCCCTTCTCCAGAGTTTAGTGGAAAGTTTAGAAAGGCCTGTTTTGTAACCGATCTCTGAATTTCATCCCAGGGGAAGAAGCCAGCGCGCAGTGAGGAGCAGCAGGGAGGTGCGGGAAGTTGGGAGGCACTGGCGTCGGCACAGGAGCGGCTGCTTTTTGCCCTCCCAAGTGTCAGCGTCCCGTACCACCTGACTTCTTATATCAGGGGAAAGGCATAAAATACCAGCTGGATTGTACAGGAAGGTACTCTCTTACTAGCGTGCAGAAATCACCGCTGTTTCCATCGCCAGAATCTTAATTCAGGGGGTAACTGCGAAGTACACGGACGGGAAGTGGGGTTGGGCGAAGGAAGCTTTCCCAGGGTAAAGCTCAGGGAGTTGGCAACCAAACTCCAGCTTGGCAGACACAATGGCCACATTATTTCATCCACATGTCACTAGACGAACACCACTATAGCATTTTCATTATTTTTATCCTGATTCTTCTGTGGTTCTGGCATGAGAAATAGACATCTATCAAAATATTACTACTACTTCACTGCCCTGTTCTTTTCACCCACATGCTGTGTTTTGTCTTAACATAGATATAAACATACCAAGGCAAGAGTTTTGCCTTTCCAGCTCTTCCTTGTAATACCCTGGGGCATGGGCACCCAGTTCTACCTGGGATCTAGGTGATTACCAATCTTGCATTTTTGTGTGCTTGCCTCTTTGCTGGGCTGCTATTATTTGCTTTTCTGGTCACCTTATCTTACAGTGTTCAAGAAATCCCTCTTGTCCTCCTATGCGTGAATTGGCTGCAGTTTGACTGTCAGTCTTCCTCCAGATTCTGAGGGAATTTTTGTGAAAGCAGATGCTATTCTCAAAGGGCAGGCAGAGGGGAGTGTTGTGCAACCGAGAGGAAAAAAGCAAGGTTACTTTCCCGTGGCTGTGGTTCCTGGATATGTCTGGGGGTTTTTTGGTTTGGTTTGGTTTTTTTCCAGATATATACATTTACAGTGTGGAGGTTTGCAGAGCAAACAGCTGAGCCAGACTTGTTTTTACTGAACCAATACCCAGAGGGGGCACACATGCTCTACCTTCCCCTTCCCTCCCGCTGTGTACGTAATCACAAAATAGCAGTGTACTGTGGTGAGGCTCAACAGCAGAAGTACCAAAAAAAAAAAAAAAAAAAAGAGAGATAGAAAAAGAGGAAGGAAGGAAAATAAAAGTAGGTAGCAATTGTGCACGATGGATATTATAGCTTAGAGAACCGCAGTTAGTAGCAATAATTTTTCTTCTTTTGAGACCCAGTCCATAAATGCTGGGCAATTCCAATACTTCTTCATCTTACATGCTGGGGATGCACAGCTGGGTCTCAGGGTCTTCTTAAAAGAAAGACCATTCTATTAAATAAACCAGTGTTCCGTGGTGCCTTGGCAATCACAGAGATGCAGCTGAGAGAGCAGTGCCCCAGGCTGGAAGCTCCCTGCAGACGCCTGAGATACTAAGCGAGATCTAGTGCAGTCCAGCCCACTCACACCAAGGAATTGGATGGCCCATAGGTCATAACACACACATAAAAAATGACCTTTGTATTTAGTGTCTGTAGATGACTCAGCCACAGAAGTGTGAAGATTAGCAAATAAAGCAGATGTTAATTTCTTAATTTGGATGGAATTCTGACACAATCACTGGAGGAATTTTGGGATGAGCCCAAAGAGCTGTCCTAATCAGGAGTGAGGCTGTATAGCTGGCAGAAGTCTCTCTGAATCTCTGCTAGGTTGAAGAAATGGCCATGAACAAATGTATCTGCAACAGGAGACAAGAATTTAAATGGCTGTCCCAGAAAGGGTGTGAGGACCAAGCTCAGATCCAGTGGAAATATAAAGGTCTTTGACCAGAAGAATTGTCATCATTTTAATGACACAGCCTGTTCTGGACTGGCCCTGAGCCTTTGCTAAAAATGATCTTCTAAAATTTTAAAGGATTTATTTCCACTCCCCTGGCCCAGATCAGAGATCAGACACGGGAGGGCTTGAATCTCTTAGACCCAATTCTTATCCTCCGATTAGGAGAGCTGAGTTTCTTTTTATCCCACTGAATATCTGCAAAGTAAGGCAAGACTTGACAGTAGCAGTTTTCATTGTTTCAGTTTAGTCACTGATTCTGGTGTCAGAAACTTTTGCCTGTCTGAATGGAAAAGCACTAAAACTTGTCCCTCTCTGTGGATCTGTATTTGACCCGTCCCGACCTACTGCTATTCACCTGAGGATGCACGTGAAGGGTAATTCTTATCAGCAGGAAGTACGTGCCTGTATCATCTTGTTCAAGGTGTTGTCATAAACATTCAGAAGCGTTCAGCTGGATTAACTTCCCCAGCTAAGCAGAGTAAACTTTTGTTCTGGAGTGGACTTACTGGGTAAATAAAAAGGGATCAGTGGGAAAAGTCAGTAGCTCTTCCCAAGGGAAGGTCCAGCTTCTTTTTTAGGGGATGTGCGAGGGTGGCCAGAGAGCACCTAGAGTTCCAGCAGGCTCTTCAATAACTATTGGAAAACTTGAAGAGCTCCCAAGGCTCAGCAGGGACCTTGATATACCTTGAATCACAAAACCGTCACAGACACTTTCTAGTGTCTAGAAACACAAACATTTCTAGTATGACAGATGGAAGGTATTGCAAGGCAATGAAAAGATTCATACTGCAAATCATACAGGCTGTAAACAAGAAAACAAAAGGAATTTTATGTGTTTTGAGAGAAGTTATGCTGCAGGTTTATGGCTGCGGTTCAGCTGACCTCTTCAGATGAGAAAAGGGGAAAGTGACCAATACACTAGCATGGCATCTCACTCAATTTTTTGTCTGTTTTCTCAGAAGAACTGTAAAATACCAGTGTGCAGTCCCAGAGATGCTTAACAGCTAAAAACAAAGTCACATAATCAAGGAATCCTCTGACTTAAGAAAGAAAGAAAGGAGTACTTAGGAGTGACTTTGAAACACCAATGGCAGACATCTAAGTCCTCAAGGTTACCTTTTGATTTTCTGTTTGCATTCCCTGGGTGTTTCTGTGAAACACTGAGAATGAACAGTGGGAGGAAACCAAAGAAATATCAGATCTCAGTAGGGCAGCATCTTGTCAAGGGAGATGGCATACCCTGTTTGCACACAGCAACATAGCCTGGAGGGAAGAACTCTTGAACTCATAGCTAGGCAGAAAGTTAAGTTTTCAGGTAGTTAAAACAAGGCTGCTTTGGTTTTCTTTTATCCATGATCTCCTTAAGGAGTTCTCTGGGAGAGCACAAACCTCCTCCCTTTGAAAGATAAAACACCTTTGCACTAAGGCTTATTCTCCCAGATCTGTCTTATTACTTTTAGTGCTCTTTGCTTAATATGGAATAAGATAGGTCTGTCACTTATCTTTTAGCTATGTCTAGTAAAAAGTGTGATCTCAATGTGAACCAGATCCATGTGAAAAACATTAAAACCTTCTTGGGATACAGTAAAAATTGGGATACAGTAAATGTATTCTCAGGGCAGAGAGGTGTGCTTATAGAGCAGCTGCTTCCCTAAAATGTGTGCTAGGAGCTCGAGAGTGAGGATCCTACCATCCCTGCAATGGTTGCTGTCAGATAGCATAGGAAATAGTGTCAGTGCCCTCTCAGTGAGCTGGAGAAAAGATGGCTGGATATGGAGAATAGCCACATTTGCCACATACAGCCAATAGGGAAAAATGACTTTAAATGCATTGGTCTACCAGGGCCCAGGAGTAGAGAGTTGAAAGGAAAAGAGGTGTGTGGGAGATGAAAAACCAAGATGCACATGAAGGCAGAACACAGTCAAGGATCTAGCAAGCCATTCTTGGCCAGCTTACAAAGAGAAAATGAAGTTGAAAAGCAGCACAGAACGATATAAAATGCCTGAGGATTTACTAGCAAAGTCGGTAAATATATGGGAAAAATATAAATAAAATATAAATATATAGGAAAAAACCCACACAAAACAAGTGGCAGTGTTCCACGTGCTGGAACTCAGCCAAATGATATGAGTTCTGCCCCATAACCTTGTTCTCACATCAGGTGGAAAGTGGGGTCTGTGTGCATACCCCAGGCATCCCTACACCCTCCAGCTGCAGGCTTTGCCAACCAGGGGTTCACAGTGTCAGCCTACACTTGGGTGAGCACTGGGAGAAGCAGATCATGCAGCAGGGCTGCACTGTGCCTCTGAGGGCAGATGGACACCTCAAAACACCCGAGACTCTCGCTTCTCCAGCACCATGGGAGCCATGGGGGATATCAGGGCCAGAATTTATCTCTATGGTGGCACATCTTTATTTCCTCCATGCCTGAGTGTACTGTTCAATACTGGTTGCTTCAAATATTCCTTGTTCCAGGAGGAGACTACCACTTACCAAAGACACTGGCTTGTAGAGCAGGGGGGCTGATAAGCTCTAGGAAGGTAGCCAGGCTGTAGGGTCATGCTGGGTATGGCGGCCTCCCAGCCCACAAGGATACATGCCCAGGTTCTCAGACATCCTTCACCTTGCAGTCTTACATCTTCACAGTAAAGCTTAGAGATAACCAGCCCACAGGCCTACTCTGAAACATCTTTTCTTGAAAGACTCACGCTCATTAAACTATAAAGCTCTGTCGACACAGAAGAACTTAGCTGATACTGCTAAACATCTACAAATAATCTGTATAAGCCATTACTCAGATTAAGGAAAACAGTACTATTTTGGAGTGGTTTAAATGTTACTTCTAAGTAGTCAAACTGAGACATACAATGATCTGTTTTACGTTACTCACGTACCTGTGCTACTCAGCAGATCTACATCAAGCAGCAGCAGATCTACATTCCACCAGCAGATCTACATCAAGCACATCTGACAGTGCTTCAGCCTCCGGACAAAACCTGAGGCCCCTCTAAGCGAGCTCTAGTATGCAGAAGCGGGGGTTTAGACATTGCTGCCCATTGCTGCCCTGTGGAGGAGAAAACACAGCAGTGGGCAAGGCTGTCCTAAACCTTTATTAGCCCAGCAAACGTGCCATAGCCTTCAGGCTCTACATGTCTGTCCAGAAAACCTCAAAAACACAAATGTGAACTGAATGTAACAGAAACATGGATGAGTTTACAGAGAATGCTGGAAGAATGGTGTTAATTATAGCTGAACTGCACTATTTTTCTCAGTGGAGATAACTCGGATGCCCAGAAACAATGGTTTTAAATTGTCTTGGCGTCAGTGGTTGGGAAAGGAGACAAATCATTCTCCATTGCTACCTGTGCAGCTTGCTTTGATTTTTTTTCCCAGATAATTGGGAGGCAGGCAAAGGATACATCTCTTACAGAATTCTGACAACTGTGGAGTTCCCTATGAGCTGCTTTTAAAACTCCGCTCCTGGACAGCTGAGCCTGCAGAGCCCAAAGGCACCTGACAGAGCTGCAATCCTGGTCTGGGCATTCACCCAGTCTGGTGTGAGTGGTGTCTCACTCCCACAACATGTAGGACGTGAAAGAATATTGCCATCTTTTGCCTCCTAAACCAACCTGTTCCTCAATAATCTTGTAAATTATGAAGAACTTGACTCCAAATCCACTAAAACATACAACAGAGAAAACATTGTAAATCACTTTAAAAAGTTTTTTAAAAAAAAAGGTAAAACAAAAATATTTTTAAAGCCTTATTTTTACACTCATGCCAAATTTAATCAAGTCCCTCTATTTATATCTGACTTCTCTTTGAGATACCCATTTTCAACCTTACTGTATGCACTTGCAGCCATGCTGTGTAATGAAGAAACCTTCCAGCCTTTCGGATCTTCATGCATCCAAACTGTCTGGCTATGATGTATCTGCAAATGCTTAATTTTAAGCACCACGGAGCTCCACTGCTCCAGGTCTGCCCATTTTTTGGCAGATCATGACAGACCAGTGCTTGGAGAACCAGACTTTTGGGAACCAACTCTGTATCGCTTCTTTTCATGCACAGTAAGCACACTGACAGCACTGTTTGGGGGAAAACAGCACCAGGACTTCCAGACGTAAAATCCCAAACACATGTGGTTTCTGGGAGATGGTTCTTGGGAGAAGCCCAGTCCTGCTGCTGTCTCAAGTAAATTGACAAACACCTGAGGAGGAGAAGAAACAACAAAAACACTCACAGCAGACATTTCCTAGGCTAGAAAACAATGGAATTTTTATTGAACAGAGATGGCTCATAAACACACTCAAAGGAGTTCCACCTGCTGTTCAGCAATATTCATTGCCATCTGATAATAACCTATGGGGGCAGCTGTATAAAATAGGAATAAAATACCAAATTGCTATATTCATTAATAACTTTGCCTTCCAAATACAGAACCGTAAGTATTTCAAGTCTGAAAATAGACCACAATTGTTAGCATTTAAACCAAACCTTTATGATAACAAATATACAAAAAAAGGCAGTCAATATATTAAACATTTAAATCAATAGCATACATTTCTCGGAGGTAAACACTGAGCAAACAAAGCCACCAATGATGTTCAGAAATCAGGTAAAAGTTTCAAGGTCAAGCTCCAAACACTGTAGCTTTTCTAAAGCCGTACTGGTATTACACTTTTATCTAGCCCCTAAATTGAAAACTATGTAGCGTGAACATTTGAAAATATAACATTGGCTATGCGGCAGGAAATGGTTAAGTTCCTTAAGTCCTCGTTGTATTTATACTGAAGCACCTGCAGGGACGGAGGGCAGTAGGAGTTAAGCACTTTGTTTTTTGCAAGGTTGGGGTTTTAGTTCTGTTACAGATGAGCGCAACACCGTCCTCATACCAAACACGAATTCCAGCACTGACAAAAGAGAAGTATTGGCCTGACAAACTGCATGAAGAATCAGCCTTGCAACTTGCATTTGAACAGAATGGGACTTGCACACCTGCCTATTTACTGAAAGCCTGTGCTGCTCCTGCTGCACAGAAAAAGTCTCCTTCAGCAGTTGATCTAATGCCTGAGTTTGAAAGCTTGGGATACATACATACGCTCAAAAATAAGGTGACAAATTTACTATCAACAACTAATAAAAGTTTGTATTGCAATCTTGCTCACAACATAAATGTACAATTTGCACAAAACATGGCTCTTCAACATGAATATTTTGCAAACTACAATATATATATATATATAATATGTATAATTTCTTTTCTTAAAGAATTATATGCCAGAGTGCATGCAAAGAATTTCAAAGCAGTAACACAACAGGAGCAATCACTTGTTTACAGGTTACTGAAACCATTCAATACAGAAACACTGGAATATTAGATAACAGACAGACAGATAGGTAGATGTATGTACACACTGCTTCCCCATGTGACATCCAAAGTGTGGGCTCGTTACAAACTCAGACCACGAGGAAAGACAGCTCCAAAGAGGCCCCTGAAGATCCTCCACACTCTTTGACCGTAAATCACTTCTGTTGGAGATGACAGAGAAGGAGGCACTTGTCCTTTAGCCAGGAGTAGAGGCAAGCAATCTTCTCCATAGCCAACATCTGTTCCAAATCCTGCTCCTTCGTTTCCAAGCAGTGGGTGGTGAGCATCTATCCATCCAATGTTTTGGCTGGTCTCAAGCAGTCTCCTGCAGCCTTTACAGTTGGAAATCCAAGACTGGAGAACGTGGGTCTCCTAAACAGCAGTGCATAGCACTGCCATCATTCTAATCAGATATGTACAAGGAATGACATGTATCCTCTGGTTTAAAATTTACATAGAATATATACAAATAAAGCTGTGCTATCAAGGTGCAAGTTTATTATTCTCTGGTGTGTTACAATGAAGATTTCTCAAAAACCTTTACACAGACCCACCAGGAGAGTTTACACAAAGTTGACATTTTTGTCACAGTTCGATATGTAGGCTTCGTTCTGCAAACTCCATAACGGAAACTCCCATTGCTTTCCCTTGGAGTTCTGCCTATGCACAGGACTGGATTTGGTAGACTACAGTCATGTCTAATATAATTTCCTCTACTCCAATACATTTTAAACTGAGGTGAAGTGGCACCATGTGTTTTGTTGTGTTTTTTGTTGTTGGTTTGTTTTTTTTTTTTCCTTTTTCCCAGGAAGTCATCAATCTCTGTGAAATGAGGCAGGACATGTAACTGGACATCAGGGGGTTACAATTTGTGTGCCCAGTCCGGTTTTCCTTGCTTTTGATGGGACTGTGGTATGTGGAACTAGCACAGTTTGGCCCTAAGGGTATATCTGTAAGTCCTTGGCACTATTTTACACTAGATGATGACAGGCAATGCCCTCAAAGAAATAAAAAAAAAAGGCCCAATGCAATTTACTACACAGCAAACATCAGACTGATCCACTAAACAGATGGATATGGAATGCAACTTGTCTAAAATTAGAATGGTTGATGTTTTCTTAGGCAGGTCTAAATTCATAACAATCTTTCCCACCCCACACAGGCCTCATTCTGCAGCATGTAAATAGATGATGCTTCTAATAAAGTCATTGGAAACACAAAGCCTGTGATCAACAGGCAGAAGGAAAGCCTACCCTCTCCCATTTCTCTTCAGCAAAAACCTCAAGTAACATAAGTACATGTTTATGATCCCTGCTGAAGTAGAGGGGCTGTGTGCAATGACAGCAGGATTTGGCCTTCAGCCTTTTCTGCTGAACCAACCGCAACTGTGCAGATGACTGGATGGGAAATTACATCTGCTCGTGCATTAAAAAACCATACAGCCTTGCAGTAACTCCCATTAAAGATTCCTACTGAATTCATGAGAGAGAGAGAGCAAGAGAGCAGATTTTAACAAGTGCATGTTCTGCTCCACTGGAGTTATGTTTCTCAAAAATCTTTCTCTAATACCATTTTCCTCCATTTTGTAACTTGATTATATCGAGACATTCAGAGCAGAGGCTTTACACATGTCCTCTGAAGCTAAGGGGAGTATTTCACACTAGAAACAAAGATCTGGCTAGTTTTTCTCTTTTTCAGAGTAATACAATAATAAAAAAACAACTGGTTTCACCTGCTGCTGTGCCTTTGTACAGCCTTAACAAAATGACATCTAGCAATGACAAATGAATCATAATCTCATTGGAGATCTTAAAAGGATCAGCATCAGACAGAGTGGGTTTAAGATAACCTAAGGTGCACTTGGAGAAAATGTTGTGAGAGTGCTGCAGCAATTAAAAAAATTTCTAAAGAAATTAAATACAAACCCACTTATTAAACTAATGTTCAGGTTGTGGACAGAGCGGACAAAAGCTGCCACCTCAAATTATGGCTGAGCTCCTCTATTTTTAATACATTCCCTTCTGAGTGCCCTCAGTGTCTTCACTGGAAGGGCTTGCTCTGAAACATTAACAGCATTTAACAGGCAATTTTCAAAAGCATGTAACAGACTCAAGAGACTGACATCTTTGAATGAGCTACAGATGCCTATCTGTCGTTTTGAGGAAAAGTATCTGGTTCCAGAAACATTTGTATTTCTTAGCTATAACCTTTCTCTACAGAGAAACATCTGCCATCCTACTGTTTATACTCTAACTCTGTTATTTTATTTTCATCCATCATAAATGGATAAGCAACGGGGAAGAAAGTTTCACCTGTGTTAATTATAGACGACCTCAAACATGCCTGTGAAGCCACAAACCAGTACTTAAGCTACATCTGCGGGATGGAGGACAGTATCTCTATGTTTGTTGATGATTACTCTCGGGTTACGTGATCTTTCATTTGCTTCTCAATAAAAAGGGAAATGAAACCTTCCCATAAAACCCCAACAATAGATGGCAGCAAACAAAAACCCAAACCCAAATGCATAACAACCATAACAAATGCAAAACAATCATAATCATTCCTGCATTTAGATTACACAAATTAGGAGTCTGCCTAAAACCAGGAAAAATCAAGATCAACTCAATGGTTCTGTACTGATGTAGAAACCATCTTATTTCTAGCACATCCTTTCCTCTTGTTTTCACTTCTCTTTCCTAGCTTTAAGTTCAAAGACATCTCAGGGACAGGTGGGAGGGGATGTGAAGAGGGAGAAAGGAAGTAAAGAGTTGTCCCACACACAGTGCTAGCTCTTCTGTCTTTTCAGGATGCTCACGCTGGGATTTCCCCATTTAGCTGCTGCTTTCCATTCTAAACATAAAGACACAAAACCAGCCCTTCAGAAGTGGATCACTTCTCCATCTAAAGATCAGGCCTGTGCTTTCTAATTACAGATATGCATTTGGCTTAGAAAGTGCGAGACACACAAAGACTTCAAAGGTGACAGAGTATGAAAGAGAGATGGAAAACAGACCTAATCCACAGACTAGAAAAATCAATGAAAAGGCTTCCAGCAATTTTAATGGGGCAAATTTCATCATGCTTTCATGTTTGGTTTGCGAATGATGTTATAGCAGAATCTTAACTTGTATTTTTCCTAGTACATTCATATATTCTTAACATGTAAATTACTTCTTGAACCCTGTATCAAATATTTATAAATGCTAAACTAGGTACAAAGTGAAACCCATTTGGGAAAGTGGAGCAGAGGGAGGTTTGGCTGCACTAATGGATATTGCATTAATGCTTAGCATCAAGGAAGGCTGACTGCCATTAACAAGAAATCTCATTACAAACATGATTTCACGCCTCATAACATATCCTGTAGATCTATTTACTGTCCATCTCTCTCTCTCTCTCATATACACACAAAGATAACTACAGACAGAAAATCCAAAGCATTGCATATGCTTAGCCTTTTCTTCTCAAGTTAAGCCCCCAAACAACAAAAAACCCCCAACCAAACAACACACCACCAAAAAATCACAAAGAAGCAGAAAATTCACAGCATGGCTCATTAGAACTAAATTATTTTACAATCTCACTTCTGTCATGAATGACTTAAGATGCTTTCCAGACTTCAACCTAATCAAAAGCCTGCTCTGAGGATAACTAATGCACAAACGGCATTACAACAAGCTTTCCAAGGAGCAGGGCTGAAGGACACTCTAGTAGCCCACCTGTTACTGGTGCAGGGGTGGGGGAGGAAGGGAAGTTGAGGGAATGTGGTGTTTCCTCTGTGTTTTTCTCTGCTGCTCTTCAAAAAATGCAGGATCCAGGTCCCTTTTCTCTTTGATAGCTGGCAGAGCGAGGAGTGGGGTGAAAAAGAGCACTGACTGTATCTTGGAGCTCTAAACAGCAGAGATGCATTATTCAACCTTCCACATAATGCCACAGAGATCAATAGGACTGTCCTATGTTGCAGAGAGTGGGATTTACTTATTTATTGTATGCGTAATGCTCAGGCACCTCTGTTCCCCACTGGTACAGCACATATGGCTGTACAACAGCTGCGACGCTCAAGAGAGATGTGGACAGGAAGCAACACACTGGTCTGAATGCACTGATGGGACTTAAAATAGGTCAAGTTTTTTCTAGTACTAATTGGAATTTAGCCAGGAACATGAGGTCAAAAAGCTCTGAAATACTTTGCTATAGTCCTTGTATTCTTCAATGGATAAACTCACAAACCAAGTGAGACTGCACATTTTACCGTGTCCCCAAATGGTGTAATTAGTCATTGGCTCAAAAATTGCAAGGCAAAAACGAGTATCCAAGGTATTGAACAGACTGTCCCAAATCTGTCTATCAGTCTAGACAGGCTTGAGCTAGGTTAAGCAGAGTATTTGACCAAGTGAATGCTTGGATGCTGGGGAAGCAGCTTTCACTCTGATAAGGCTCCAGAGGCTTTCTGTACTCCTTTCTGCTTTCTGCCCCAGTAAGGTGCAACCAGCACTGGGGCACAAGGGGTTTTCAGCCATACTGAAGGGCAAATCTCAGCTTGCAGATGTGCTATGAGCTCTTTAAAAGCTATGCAGAACAGAGAGAACCAGTATGGAAAGGCTCATTTAAAAGCCTCTCACGCAGGAAACTATGGGATAGTCAATTTATCCACTGCTGGGAAGGGGAAAGGCTAAGGCTGGACTCTCTTGAATCCGTAGCTTGAACAAGTCCAGATGTTTTGAACCATGGTAATCTGTCCCTGACAGAATATATGAGGTGTTGAGGCTTTGACCTTAATTAATTAAAATGACCTCCTAGCACACTGGATTTTTCTAAAGTGGCAGTCTTTTTTTTAAATGATTTCGCGTTGGGTATTTTAGAAAGGTTTCTTTCCCCTGTCTTTGTCTGCTTTATAAAAGTAGCAAGAAACAAGATTGCCTCTCACTGCACTGGGCTAAGCCAAGTAATGGAAGTTTTAATGAAAACACAGCAGCAGAGATGATGGGAAGTGGAAAGACTAAAGTTAACCACACGGAAAGGGGTTCAGGCAAATTCACTCTTGCAGCTGCAGCAGTGGAGATATTTATGAGGACAAGTAAAAGCTACCAGTTGCTAGAGCTCCCTGGTCATATCTGAGTATGGGACCAAGCAAACCCTCTGTGTGAGCACTGAAGAGACTGGAGCGAAAGGGGCTGGTTGGGAATGCCAAGCAAGTGGTGAGAGGTGGGGCTGCTTCCTCTCTTCCTCCCTCCCCTCCCCTTTGATTTCACGGAAACTGAGTTGGAGAACAAATGAATTAGGAAACATTGTACACTACACCTCTGGAATCTAACTCAAAGATTTATAAGATTTACAGCAAAGAGCTATAAATTCAAATTCTTGTACCTAATCCTCTTCCCTTACTAAGACTTCTTCATTAGTGTGCCGTCCGACATGGATGCCTAAGCTAAGCATGCCCATTCACATTGTCATCACCTCTACAGGATGAAAGAACAAAGCTGTAAGCCCAAAGAAGGGTGAAAATGCCTCTCCAAAGGAAAAGAAACAAAAAACTTGCCATTCTGGTACATCCACATGAAGTGGACAGATTTAGCCAACTAAACAACACAGCATGCAAAACACAAGATTTTTTTAGAATTAAACCTGTCCAGCCAGCACAACCTCTCTTGTGAGTTGCTGCTATGTCTCCTGGGTGTTTCAGTGACAAGCAGTCCAATCAAAGCACAAAAAGCATCATCTAATGAGACTGCTGACTTTTAGGAGGTAAGATACCCCATTTTAACCTCTCTGCATGGATACAAGATAAATACACACTAGGCCACATCCATGACTGTTCCATGCAAGAAACCTTGAACAAGAGCTGAAAGAATGACAGGTTATGGCAACAAAAAGAAACTGAATACCCTCCTCCCACCCACACTGAGCTTGCTTCCCCAGCTCTTAGGCTCACTGAAGGCAGCTGGCAAATTCCCATTAGTCTCTGAGGGTATTCTGATTTTCCTTCTGCTTTGGGCACCACATGCATAATGTTTTCAGCAGTGGTCTCGTTGAAGTCATGGATCATTGAGCCACAGCTGAACACTTGTCTTTGCTGGTTTTTGCCCTTGGAGGCCAGTTACAAATGGTAGGTCAGGTGCAATTCTATTAAACGTGAAAATGTGGTCAGGGCAGGCAGCCTGGCTTTTCACCCACTGAAGATAATGGGTTTTACCACAAAATAAATAAGTTAAAAAATGACATAACATTAATTTTGCTATAATTGCTATAAATGCATGGAAGATGTGAATGGAAGTGCTTTAAGTTACAGATATAAATGTTGTGTTTATAGGTAGACATATAAAATTAGTAATATTCTCATCTGTGGGGTTTCAGATATTATTTCAAGGCTTTTTCAAGGCTAACTTCCTGCAAGCTAGTTTATTAAATGTTAGGACAAATCCTAAGCAGCTTTTTTAACGCTTATATATTTCAACATCTCTGGGCCAGAGGATGAAAGCAATATTAGGCCCTTCATTTCTGTAAAGCAGTTGCAGAACCTCACATGAAAGACACTTTGTCAAAGAAACTAACTTGAAGTCTTTGACTTCAGGTAAGTCTCATTCATCAAAAAAAAAAAAAAAAAATCCAGTAACTTCAGAGGCAACCTTAGTGAATGTAGTCTTCAGGCTGTCATCTTTCAGCAATATTTTTAAGACAGAGCCAGCTCCTGAGGGACACTGAATACCAGCAACTGACTTCGACTAGTTCTCTAGGTTCCCAGCTTCTCCCAGGATTTAAACTATAGACAAGAATGGTCTTTTTTTTTTTTCTACGATGGCCTAATTCTTGCCTTGAGTATGTGGATATGTTAACTTTTACACCACCTGTATTTCTCTGGAAGCATGCCTGAGTCCCCAGAGACCTTGTTGCATTGCATGCCATAACAGAAGCTTCCTCTTATTTTAGACAGGTACAAGTGGGAAGAAGAGATGCCCTTTCTTTGTTTTCTCACTGCAGCACCTCAGAGCAGTTTATTTCAGTACAAACTGAGGATTTCCCTTTTTCTCTTAAAGAGCAGCACATGGTGCTATGCTTTGAAACAAAACCAGAATTTCTGAAAGCCCCCATCCTACCACACACTCCAGCCCATCCAGGGCTTGTGTGACGATTGGTATGAAGCCCGTGGATATTCAGTGGAAAACAGCTCAGTGTCAAAGCAGAGGAGAGCAAGCAGCTCTCATTAGTACAAACAGGAGCCTGGATACTAAGCCTTCACACCTTTTTAAAGATGTTTCCTCTGTCTTTAATAGACATTTGCACAAATCTACTCTGGAGCTGAAACCAAGCAGGCAAAAGTTTTAGCTGGGGAAAAAATAATCTTAGCCATTAGAACCCTGGCCCTTTTCCAGAACAGAGAGCATCTGGCCACCAGCTGTGTTTAGAGGACAGCAGGCAGAAGGAATAGATCAGGGGAATATCTGAGAAACAAGTAGACAGTGCTGAAATTTATAATGAAAAGAATACCAGCCTTCATCTGTGATGTCCAAAACCTTTGCACTCCTACATTCCTCATCCTTTTCTCTTCCCAGCTCTTGAGCCCATTATTGGAAAATCGCCCGTTCAGGAGAACACAGATACCCTTTCTGGGCTTGAGAAGGGATCCAGCAGGGCTTTAGAGTAAAAAAACTGGGAAGTGTGGAAACTGGCAGCACGTGAGGCAAAGTGGAAACGTGAGGAAATTCTGGAAACTAAGGGAGGACCGTGTAGAGACAGAAGGAAAGATCTGCCATGAGGCAGGGACAGGATGTCTGCAAGTCCTCAAATATTACAGCATGGATTACTATAAAAAAGACAAACGGAAAGACACCTTCACTCATTACAGGATGGAAAGTTATGATTAAAAGAGAAAATCACAAGTTTTTTCCAAGGATGTTGCATTTTTTCCATTTCACCATGACTGGAGGCAATATTTTGCCTCGAAATGTGTAAATTATTGCAACTCATACAAAGACGAAAGGAACAGAAGGCTTTTTTTATTTTCTAAGATGATAACACCATGTCTCAAAAAAATGCTAATAAAATGCTCTGTTGAAAAGAGCCTTATCTGACAGGGATGGTATTCATGGGCACCCACTGAAACTCACACTGCTTTTTAGATTAAATTGACAACAGAGCCCTTCCCCCCAGCCCCAGATTAATGGAAGGAAGAATCCATGCATGAAGCCACGTATAATAAAGCTTGGAGATTATGAAATAGGCTAGAAGAGAGGATCAGAATTGCAACTGATCTTGATGAAGTGGGGAAATTGCCCCGATTAGAGCAGAACAAATCTAATAAAGAGAAGTTGAAAGCGCTGTACTTCCAAAGGTGTAGTAAACAAACGCACAAATAAAGATGGAACTCCTGGGAAGGCAGCAGTGAATCCCTCAGGAATTATTAAACAGACTGGATCAAAGTCAGCCATGGGATGTTCTTGTGGAAAATATCTGGGGATATATTTTCTGATATGATTTACATTAACCACAGAAAACAGTTACTCTGCTTTGCTTATTACTGTATAAAGCTCCCGCTGCAGTACTGAATTTTGGGGAAAATGGGAAGTCATGAAGGGACTGACAGCAAAAATCAGAGACCTAGAAAACACTAGCAAAGGAACTAGCAAAGACTATACTAGTGAGGCAAATAGGAGAATTCCTTTCATACACAGAATAACCCTAAAAAAGATCTTGTAAGATCATCTGGTTTTCCTGTCAATCAGGGCTTGAAGGAAAAGTGACTCTTTTGACAGTTAAGAAATCCTGAATAGTCTCTTAGGAAAACCTTCTGATTATGAGGGTAGTGAAGACCATGGATCCCTGTGACTGGATGTTTAAGAGCCTGCAAGCTGCACATTTTCTGACATGGCTCAGCTAGACCTCACCCAGCCTCCCATCAGCAGAGGCACACTAAAATCAGTTTCCAAGCTCTGGTTTGTGGATCCACTACAGTTTGCTGGCTGCTTCCAGTTGAAATCAATGCTGGGGTTACACTGGCTGGCTCTTCTGTTGGCAAAAGTGATGGGGCTCACTGGTCAAAAAAACAATTGAAAGTTATGACTCTTCTTTCAGCTATAAATCTATGATGTTGGGATTTACCAGCGTTTTTGAAGGGAAAAAGTTATTCCTGTATAAATCCATAGGCACAATCCCTACCTGTAACAGTTTTGTATGACAACTTCTTGGGGTTTGTCCTCCCCTACCAATTGCCAGACACCAGCAAAGCAGACCTCGTGGCAGCAGTGGGTGCCACGCTTCCTGTCGTGCTCCGCCATCCTGATCCACAAGCCCAGGAAGGAGCACACGGGGACACCCGAGCGCATGGGCTGGCACAGCTCTGCTGCAGATGGACACCGAGTGTGTTTGGAGGCAGCTGCACTCTGCCACATCTGCCTCTCAGTGCCCAGACACGGCGACCACTCCACATACAGCCACCTACTAAGCCCTTTATCCATGAAAGAAAACCAGTGAACGTTACCACAGACACCCTCAGCTCACCAGAACAAGGAGTAGCATGGAGTTATCAGTGTTTCCTTCCTATTTAATATCCCGATTATTGTTTGAAAAAGTTTGCTATTTTAAACCATGAAGCTGCGGGGTCAGGCCTGCTGCTACCTAGTTATCACTGGCATGGAAGGATGGGCTTCCATGGATGAGGAGGCACACCAAACAACAACAAGCACCCCTGCGTGTTGCTGTTGCATCAACTACGGTCTCGCTTCTCTACAATTGCAACGTTCACACAGAACTTGCCATTACTTAAATGTTCCGGACAACATCTTGTGTCAACATTTATGCAGAAAAAAAAAAGTGCAATTGACTGACACGTTGTGTCTCTGCAACATTTAATGGCAGTTTATATATACTGTAATTTGTTGCAGAAACAGTAGAGGTTTTACAAGACCAAGCAAAAAGGAGGATTTACACCTTAGTCATAAAACAGCGTCCTACTGTGTTGATAACTAAAGCCAAAACTGTGCTTTCTGAGCATGTCAAAAACTATCAACATGGAAGGGCACCTGATGTAGATGCTTCAACAAAAGAAAAAGAGGTTAACATTCATGGTCAAAATAAAAGTTCTAAATTTTCTGAATGGCAGTCTATAAAGTAAGTATATTAATGTCACTTTGCCATGGAGAAGGCAACATCTTTGCCTACTTCTGCTATGGCTTGCAGAGACAGAGCATCAAGAACATTGTGGCACATAGCATATTTGTCTTGCTAACAATATGCTGCAAAATAAACAAAGCTTTGACATTTTAAATCACACCCCAATCCCACCCCACCCAAGCCCTGCGTTTGTAGACAATCTATACATTCTCAGGATACAGTGAGGAATCATTCTATAGTACATATTTAATTATAATTTAAAAAAGTCTAACTCAGACAACAATCTCTGGCCAGTAGCAAAATATCCACACATTACTAAAGTAAAGATCTGTTACTGTCCCTTCACTGCAACAAACAGAAATCAGCATCTCGAGAAGGAGCTCCAGGGGTATCATATCACAGCCAATCGATCGCACCAAATAAAAAAAATAGGCTAATTTCACAAATGAAGTTTCACAAGAAGCAACATTGCATTTGTCTTGGCAAAACAAAGCACGAACGTAACATTTCACAGGTACAGTTACCATGCAAATGCATGTTTGTTGAGTTTGTCATTGTTTTTAACCCCAAATCACAAGTAGCATGCAGTTCTTCTGCCCCCCCCAACTACTGTATTAGAGAAAATCTGGGTAATGTACCTCTTTGGTGTAACCATAGCCTGTTAGGCAAGATTATACCACCCTAGGAAAGAATACGAGCAAAACTTGATCATAGGTATGTTTACACAATGTACATTTTACCATTTAAAAAACCAAAACATGTTACATAGATTCTCAAACACAGATCTGTTGAAAACGAAATTTTAAGCTTAAGAAATAGTTTTTAAACTACAAGGCCACCCCATTTTTTATGAACAATTTAAAAAGTTCCCACCCCTAAAAATCTGCCAGTATATTTCCTCGACTGCAACAGTCTTACCCACTCTCTAATACAGCTGATCTTTGCTTGACAGCAAGAACAGTTCTTACATTTCTCAAATGCATGAGACAATGGACTCCAGGATAGATACAGTTCTTGAATGTGTAACACTGGAACAAATCTGACTTAAATGATTAACTGGTCAATTCAGGTGTTCCCCAGCACTACCCTTCAAGGCAGGGGCTTCTGCTGTTCACTGGTTTGAGTTCTGGCTTTTGTTGGCATCAAGATCCACAAAGAGGCTTATGTTCAGAATTTGAGTACAACAGCAATTCACCAGATACTTTTGTACCCAGTTTGCTCAAAACCACGGAGGAACTTGGCTTTCTGTACTCTCTCATCCAAACGGGGACACAGCCCCAAGCACAGCACCTTTGGCCAAAACAGAACTATTTGGATGTGAAGTAGAATTTCTTACATTTTCTTTTTTGTAGTCGTTTAAGCAACTGCAACAGGTTTAAGCAACTGCAACAGCAGACTTAACTTGCAAGGTCTTTTATTAGAGGGTTACCATCTTCCTCAGCTTTACACAACGGAGCCCTTTGAAGAAGACAAATGAATTGACTGAATCCTTGTGGCCAACGTCCTCTGTAAGTCCTCTAGTACATTTTGACCAGATGTTTCTCCATTCTTGTCATACAACAGCTGTTTGAAAGCTTCATTTTCAATGAGGACCATCATATTTTTTAGAAAGTAGCCTTCACAATAGGAAGATAGTTCTGTGACGCCGAGAAACTACAAGAAGTAAAATTAGAGAAAGATAACCAATCTGATAAAACCCAATTCAGCGAATAAGAACTGCACACAAACAAATACACAAGTTAGATAGGCACAGTAACACTTACAGATATGAATGCATGGAGGGGAAGGAGTTTGAATCACACAGCATTTTATGCTGATGATTCCCATAATAATTCCATGTTAAAAGACTGTGGTTGTTAGGAAAACAAAATTCCCGGGGCTGAAGCTTTGCTCCCTTGGAAATTAATGGGAGTTTTACCACAGAGTTTACCAGACCCATGATTTCACACTAGAAGTTACACCCTAAAACTACAGGTTTGGGAAAACATTACACAGCAAATTTCAAGAATGCCATCCTTAGCAAGGACAGGATATATGACTGCAGTAAGATGTCATGCAAAACTTCATGCTTTGAGGAACTTTAGAGGAGAAATGGAAACAATCAGCCATTGAAAAAAATCTCCCTAGGGTAGTGGTGGATTTCCCAGCATTGGACACTTTTTAAGATTCAGCCGGACAGGATGCTGGGCCATCTTGTCTAGACTGTACTTTTGCCAAGAAAGGTTGGACCAGATAGTCCTTGAAGTGCCTTCCAACCTTATATTCTACAATTCTGTAACTGCAATTTTAAAAACGGAAAGTCCATAGGGATATTAATTATATTAATACTCTCCATTCAGCTTTTATTGCCTCACCTTCCTACCAGTACCTCAGTTCTTTAATCCAGGGCTTCAAACTCTTATTCCTGCAGCTGCTACAACAAAGTGCATCACCTTGCTAAACACTGTTCTACAACACCAGCCCCTGCCACAGATAGCTTTCCAAGTCTGTGCTCACACCATGTTATTCCAGCAAATCATGTCTTTCTCTCAATCGTGACAAAGGCTGTGCTCCATGTGTCTCTGGGCCAACCTGCTTGCACACTCCCATCTGGAAAGGCAGGTCTCAGCATTGCCCAAGTGCCTGCAGGTGCAGATGAGCTTGCATAGTAGCAAGGACAAGAAGGGTGTCCCTGATCACGGCAGGGTGGTTGCAACTAGATGATTTTTAAGTGTCCCTTTCCAATCCAAACCATTCTATGATGATTCCATGAAGGACAAGAAATGGTACCTGCAACAGCATCAGGTCACTCAAAACCTGCTCCTGGCTGATGAGGTGGTTCCTGGCTTCAGTGCCTGCTCACCTTATTCCCATTCTCACTAGGGTCTAACACAAGCTCTTCCACACCTCAGAGAGCAACACGGAAAGGCAGACGGCTGGCTGGCAAGCTGTGCTCGAGCTGCGGGTGAGCTCCCCTGGCTCATCAGGACCATCTGGCCTCTTCCACCACACGACATCATCTCACATTCACGTAACAAACAAATGAGGCTACACTGTGATGGGAGCACTGAAAAGAATGATCTGTGCTCAGATTAATCACCTGCACATCACACAGAGGGGGAGCAAAAAGATGAAGCATCTTCTATGCTCTGCAGGCAGCGTAACAGAGAGCTATCTGAACTAGCTTTAAATGTGTGAGTTCAGGCCTCAGAAATCTTCTGGATATAGCAATATGAAGCTTAGCCCTGGTAATTCACTGGAAGCAGGGTAAATTAGCCCATGCAGTGCTTTAGGGTGATGGGTCTTAATTCCAGAAGTCGAAGTTTCATTCACAGCTAGCTTGGCTATCTCTGCAATGCCTCACCTACCTCAGTGCAAACACAACTCTGGCTGTAAAAACCTCTCAAGTACACCATTTCCACTGCCTCCACTGGAAGATGCAGGCACAGAAAAAAATTGCAGGCTGGGGCTCTTATAGGCAAACCAGGAGCTGAATTTAGTGACTGGGTTTGTTCAGTCCCAGCATCAGCAGTGTACCAGTCCCTCAAAGAGGTCTAAAGCTCCATGTAAGAATTTTCTACAATCAGATGTAAATAACAGCCACATTTCATAATGCAAAGAAAACATGATTTTAAACCAAAATTATTAATTTTACTAACAGTAATACAAATTGAGAAATTCCTACATGAGCTAGAAGTTAAATCAAATATTTTTCAAAAGATGCCTGCACTATAATTTTTTTCCCATTACAATAAATGGACCTGCAGATATACCTCATTTCTTATTTTTGTAGGTGGAACTTTGTGCTGTTTTAAACACTGATTGCATGTTATCTGTACATCAAGACCTAACATTACTATTCTCTGTAGGAAATACCTGATCATGGGAATGGAGGTCAGCTCTGCAGGGGTTTGGAGCGGGATTACTCTGTTCAATCAAACCTCCATGCATCAGTTTAGCTTTTGTATAGACCACGTAAGTTACAAAAAAAAAAAAAAAAAATTTCATTGCACTTATTTGTGTCTTATTTCCATCTTCCAAGGGAAAGTCTAACTACTACACCTCAGGAGGAGAAAAACTGAAACTAATCAATGTGGCAACAACCTCTATCAATGCGTGAAAATAGGTTTTCTAGGTCAAAAAATGCCATGCTTTTCTGTCTAATGACTTAGGCCACCTCACAATCTAAGTATATAATTTGATTCCAATAAGAAGCTCCCCAAGACACAAAATTCTCATTACCATCCTTGCAGGGCTCTGAGCCACTGAACTTCCAAAACATGGCATTTTCATATATTGACAAGCTGTCACCAGCATTGAGTGTATCACCCCAGTGGGCTCCAGGCAGGAGGAAACAGGTAATTTTAATGGGAAAACACAGCTTGAAAGGTGAAAGCAGAGGTGTCTTCTTCACTTAGGTGATTCCTATTGAATCAGCTCAGCAGTCTGGGTTGCCATGAATAAGGGATAGGTCTTCCACACAGTGATACACTCAAATTGAGTTTGAACCGCTCAGGGAAGGGGGTGAGAAGGTGCCACCTTGTAGTTATACTACATGATTTAGGACTGTCACTATGCTATGTACCTATTAGCCAGTCAATCCCAGTAAATGAATGACAAATCTTAAACACATAACAGATGTACTAAGCATATGATATATATATATGTCACTACTTGTCATAAAAATGACCTACGACTATGATGACAGACACATAACATGCAAGTGTTATTCTGCAGTTATTTTTACCTTGGCATGATTATAAATATCCACGCAGTTTTCTGTATTAATGCTTTTTGCACAAATGATCTCACAGTGTCGTTGTAAAGCTTCAAGTTGGAAAAATTTAGCAGCAGAGAGAAGCTAAAAAAAAACAAAAGGCACGGAAAAAATAGTCAAAAACTGCTGAGCGATACAGAATCAGAGCTTGATTCTTTACTGTGTCATTATATTTTTTTCTCTGCCCCTGCTTCAGTTAGCATGAAAGTCCTGACAAAAAGTCAGAATGAGAAGATTGCTTGGTTGCTGCAACCCTCTGCAGTTCCCCTCCAGATCACACTTTGGGAAGCTGTACACGGACAGACCACCACAGACTGCTCAGATACACATTCTGACTCTGGAGCGGGGTCAGGAGTGGGGGTGCATGAGAGAGAAAAAGGAAACAGCAGCTTCAAGAATATTTTCTCACTTTGCAAACATGACTCTGCAACGAGGGACCTGCAATCACATTCCCAAAAAACAAGGTTAGGCTTCAGCCATTCCCAAAGATCTGGCTGAAACAGAGCACCTGGGCTGGATGCGGGGATGTCAGCAGAAGGGTCACGACCAAGAGTAATAGAGGAATTCAAACCAGATGATGATGACCATCCTGGGCAGTCTTAACAATCTGGAGAGGCAATAAACCTCAAATCTGTCACCTCAGTAGGCTCAAAGAAATGGAATCAGATCTCCATATGTTCCTTGTTCTAGCTTGTGAGCAGCTGTAAGGTGATGTCTAGGCCACAGAAGCGGAAATTCTGTCTGGCACTACTGTCTGGAGTGAGCGCACAGAGGGATACTGTGCAAAGGTGGGAACCAGCTCGATGCGAGGCACTGCCTGGTTGACATTCACGTCAGTGTCATGTGCCTGTATCGCTGCTCTACTGTGGCTCTCCTGACATCAGCACTTCCAGACCTCCCCCTTGGCCCTGCATCCCCCCTATGGTTACTCTGCCTGGACTAGCACTGCTTTGGGATCTCTGTACACCAATGGCGTGAAAATGGCTTAAATTTTGAATTCTCCAACGGATTTCAGTAGTGCCAAGATTTCCTCTATTGCCCCCATTCTGTCATTTTACAGAGGGGAAAAGGCATTTCATTTTATGTCTTTCCATGGTGGGTCATTGGCTCTGGCTCTCTGCTCTGCCTTAGGAAGCAGGCTGGGGTTCTCCATTGCTTGACAACCAGCCAGACCTTAGGCCAAGCTGTTTAGGTGTTTAAATAGCACTTATTCATGTATTCAGGCCTTTATACAGTCCTTATTATGTAGGACTGCATGACAAAAAGCTATCCTGTGAATCCCAAAGGGGCTCTTATGCTTCCAATCAGGAGCACTGGGGAACAAACAAAACCCTGAAACTTCCATGACATTATTCTGACTTCTCCTATGCAGTCTGCTCAAGCTCTACTTTAAAACCATAAATAAATCCAAGTGCTGGAAATCTGCAGTGCTGATGTGATAGCAGCCAGCTGGCCCCAATTATGAATTGCAGCAAAGATTTCTGTGGAGTATTTCTGGTGCTCCTTGTTATCATATTTGTAATACGGCAAGTTGCTAAATGCAGTTCTGAAAGATAAAGCCAAATCCTATTCCAGCTGCCTCTGTGGCTCAAGCAGTCATGTGCTGGTTTGTAATTACTTTAAACTGTGAGGAACCGTGGCCAGATCTGTTATCAACAGATCAATCAATCAGTCATACATTCTCAAGTCACAGAAATTTTGAGATGTCACAAAAGTAGAGCAAGCTGCCAGCTGAACTGCAGCACAAGGTTTTTAACAGCCTAGGTGATAACACACATGCCTCTGTAAAGCCGCTGCACTGCCTAGTGTAAGACTCCTTATTTCAGAAAAGGTTAGAAATTTGGCAGTTCTTTCAAAACTATGAGTGAAACAGAGAATTAGTGAACTTTTCCTATATGGCTCAGAAAGTCAACGTGGGTATGCTTAGTTAAAAATCCACTGCCTGCACTGGAGAGGGATAATTTCAGTCATGACCAGTTCCATCCTCTGGCTGCCAGACAGTTGTGTCATAGGGAGCAGTGTCACAGAAATAGGACATGAGGAAATGGAATGAAGTTGTGTCAGGGGAAGTGCAGATTGGACATTAGGAAAAGGTTCTCCCCTGAGAAGGTCAGTCGCTGAACAGCCTTCTCAGGGTCATGGCACCAAGCCTGCCAGAGTTCAAGGTGTGTCTGGATGACACTCTGAGTGACATGGTTTAGTTTTGCATAGTCCTAAAAGGAACATGGAGTTGGACTTGGTGATCCTTATGGGTCCCTTCCAACTTGAGATAGTCTGTGACTCTATGATCATGGTGGCAGAGAGTTCACAGATTACGGTTTTATTCAGAAAACTGTCACATGATTGAAATTCAACTGAACCGTGACTCTGGTGGGATTTCTCTCACGGTTAAAGCCAGGCCCGTGCCCAAGAATTCTCCCATGTGAGGAACCAAACTGGATGTTTTTAATGCTGCTGAGATAGATCTGAACATGAAAGCCCAAGCTAATGAACCAAAAGTAAAGGGTGTGGCAGAGGGAATCTGACTGGCCCAGCTGGAGTAGAGCACCTCATCTATCAGGCCGAGAGAAAGAGAGGCTGGAACACTATGCTGCTGGGAATTGCTTCCAGATTTTGGTAACACCAGGTTGCCACTAACTAGATATTTTTCTTTCAGATACTTTTTTGCTTGATGGTCATGATTTTTCTACTCTTTTTTTTCTGACAGCCAACTTCATACTGGCAAAAGTTATCATAATGGGTGATCAGCCAAGAAAGAGACCGAGTGTCTCCCACAGGACTGCAGACAGCCTGGGCACTCCAGGTGAGGCACTTCTGGCTCTTACAGGAGTGCTCATGTCTTGCCCAATGGCCATGTGGCCTTGGGTGAATGGTACACAGATCACTTAGCATTGCTCACACTGCAATTAATTAATAATAAATATCTCTTACCTCCATAATTTCATTATTTTTAATCAGGAGTGACTCTGCACCTCCATAATAAAGATACTGCATAACCAGCTGTAATAAAACAAAGGGAGTGTTTATAAAAAGCAATGCAAGACATCAGGGAACAGGGGATGATGTAAAGGCTGCAGGCAATACCCGAGGCTCTCCCAACACCACCAAGGAGTTATGGATGAAACTGGCTCAAACCTCCTCATTTCAAGTTACTCTTGGTTACTCTCTCTGCAAAGTTCAATGTTTCCTTTTCACAGGTAATGTAATGTCTCAGCCCTGATCCTCAAATTGTGTGGACTTTTTGGTGAGCTCCAAACAGTTTTCAGGAAACTGATTAATTCATTCTGAATTACCAGTGTGTTTCCCAGTAGGTTAAGTACATCACTGATTCAGGCAAATATAGCATATACAACAGTTACTCCTTTATTCCTTCCCAGGCAATGGCACCCCCACCTTCACCCAGCTGTGTGTGGGCATGCACGGATGATGAAAAAGAGAGGGGGAGGCTTTGCACTGTAACACAAGCCAGCTAAGATCCCTCTGCATGATGCTTCCAGCAAGCCTCAAGTTATTGTGGGCAGCTGGGAATTATTTGCAATGGTAACAGTTGATTCATGGAACTGTCTGAGCTCTGACTCAACTAAAGGGAAGCACATACATGTATACACTACAAGTACGTAAAACAAGCATTTTCTCTATGTTCTCATGGCAAAAAAAAATTGATTGGAGAATATTGCAAAGGAAGGGAATGAACTGTGTCTCTTCCAAGCCTGTCCATTAAGTACAGAAAGAGCCAACAACAGAAAAAAGCATCAGGTGCTTTACCGTGACATGCAGTGCTTTGTCTGCATAGCCCATGTAAGTGAAATGCATGTTATTGTATCCACTCAGGCACGGCGTTTGCAATCGACAGCACTCTGCAGCTCAGTGTACGAAGGGAGACGAAGCCTGTGCTCGTGAAACCACTACTCTGAGTTATGTGTTTATCAAATACACGTGTACTGATTTGCACAGGGCATGTATGATGTTCCTCTTACAAGTTCCATTCAAATTCAGTGTGAGAACTGACTTTACCTGAAAGATGGGGTACTTCACATAGTTGATCTCAATACAAGTACTATCAGATGAAGGCTTGCTAGACAGCAATGCTTTAAACCTAAATAAAAAGGAGCAAAATTGAATAGCCAGCCCAATTTTCTCTGTGAAAAAGTATGGCAAAAACAGTACAAAAGTGCATAGGAAGGATGGCACCAACTCTTGCAAAAACAGTACGCTGAAAGTGAATGGATTTGTCACCAAAAAGCATCAAGATTTAGACACTGACATAAAGTTCAAAGCAAAAGGAAAAAGCCTTTCTCTAGGAGATTTCAGTTTGAAATTTTTGAAAAATACATCTAATGTAGCAATAGAATAAAATGTACATTGGAAATTCAGAGTCTGTAAGGATGCATATCACAAAACCTGCACAGTTTCCTTTTTTGAAGGTTAAATTCTGGCCCTATGTCCATTATGCTGCTTTAAAAAGTATTTTGGTACAAACTATTAAAACAACTACACAAAGACTTTTAACGCTTCTATGCAGGCTCAATACAATTGCGTAAGGAGAGGTAGCATAGAAAACTAGATAGGCTGCTGTTCCCTGATTATCAAAACTGGAAATTCAGACACAAGTTTCAGGGAAAAAAAAGTACTTTAAGTTAATAATTGTGGATTTATGTGAGATGTACACATATGTAACAATCTACTTCTCAAAACCAGATATTCTCATTGATCAACTGGTGAAAATGGGAAATGTGCTGCCAGAAACATCTGCCCTTCTACTTCCTCTCTTTGATAATTCATTTGACCTCCTAGCGGTAGTTCAGAGCTCAGCTTATCTATCAAGACCAGCATTTGCTGGATGGTAACCTTTTCCATATAACGACTGCATTTTGTTAATTAAAATATGGACAACAATTTACTTGCTTTCACTAGTGTCAAACTTTATTATGAACACAATCTAGCAGGCTTAAAGCTGGAGTTTGGAATATACTTGTACATCTACCAGGAAGCTCTAAACCAAAATATCAATTTCTTAATTGAAGGCAGGATGAGAAACTGCAGTTGCTTTATGCAAATCTCTTTACTCTGTGCTATGGGTTGGCAGCACGACTAGCATCAATTCCCACATTGCTCAAATTATCCAAACTCAGTGGTTTGTCCTTGCCACATCTTGAAATAAGCTTTTACAGAGGGTCAGCTAAATTTCTTTAAAAGCACACCTTTAATTATACAGCTGCATACAAATAAAGTTTGTGAGCCACTTTAAGGTTAGGCTTAACTGGGTAACCTGTATTCAGCCTTCTGAGCACAGAGGACAGACTGTAAGTACTGCTTTTGAATACTGTCAAATGCTGTCAATGAGTTGCATGGTAGTAGCTTGTTTTTCCTGAAGACTGCCTAAACTGAAGCAAGGCAGGATTTAGCCACTCACAGGATAAATTATTATTAAGAATCAAAATATTAAGACTCCTGTACGATCGAGAGCTGGATGCAGCAATGAGCTCCATGCAAATGTGTCTCAGTGGAATGAAGTCAGATGCATGGCCAGAAGCATGGATCACTTACTGCGTGGAAATCTAGTAATAGGAGCACTTATTAAATGTCTGGCAGATCAACCAGAAAAAAGCTGTGGAGAGACATTGCTTAGGAAAAACCTGAAGACTGGGCCACTAGCCTTCAAAGAATCGTAACAGCAGCAAAACAAATAAAAAAACCCTAAAAACCCACAAAATCCCATTCTATTTTTGTTTAAAAAAAGAAAAATGTATCTCTATTTTACCTTGGTGATGCAGTAAATAGCAACACTCGATGTGCATAAAACGGTCTTCCTTCCACCAGAAATGTAACATCTGACATCTCTTTATTGTTAAGAAAATGGGGATCTAGAATCACAAAAAGAAGGAAACAAAAAAGCCAGTAACTGAATATTTTCCTGTTTTGACAGAAGAAGACAATAGAATAGAAGGATATTGTTTTTAATGAGTAAAGCCCATAGAGCTATTTTGGACAGCCTGAGACAGAAGCCCCTCAGACAACCACACGGAGTTCAGACAAAGGGAATTCAAAGCTTTGAAGTCCGTGGCGACCTTTGCTGAGATGACAGCCAGCCCTCCACGCTGTGTGAAGCTGGCACAGCCTCCCAGCTCTGCTACCCAATGCAAACTGCAGCTGAACAGATGCTGGAGGGCCCTGTGCTCGTTTATATCCTATTACACCCCTCTCCCTGTGCAAGAAAGTCTTCGTGCCAAGGGGAAGAGGGTCCTGGAAAATTGCTTGGGTCTTTTCTCAGTCCCATTAATACACCCTGGGCTCTGTCAGCCTGGCTGGGAGGGCTGTGCTGCTGCAGCATCACCTGCAGCCAGACACAGCGCTCTGCGATCCGGACAGACGCTTGGCTCCAGGCCCAAGGCTTGGATCCCAGCCTAATTAGCAACACAGACAAATCCTGGCAGATTTACAGTCCTACTTCAACACACCTGATGACCCTCCTGATTTCAGCAGGAGTTTCAGGTCAGGCTAAGTTTGGGGCCCTTCCTTTTTCTAGTTCTGCCTTTCAAATTCAGGTTTTTCTCTGACCTGTGGCCCCCTCAAGCACCTGGCCAGTAACACAGACTTCCCACAGCTCTCCTTGGAGAACCAGCGGGTACCTTCAAGTCACACTTACCTAGGCGGGAGGTCTGCTTGCGCTTAATTTCAACCAGCTTTGGAATTGGGTAGGGTCCATAGCAATGAGTGAAAATGACAGAGAGCTGCTGGCTGATCACTTCATTCTAAGGAAAAGAAAAACAAACACACGCAATGTAAGCTTAGTATGCAACATAAAATCAGTATGCAAAGGACATGTTACATTGCTCTCAAGAGCTGCCTGTTTTGAAGGTGAAAAATGTGATTGCTGAAACTTTATTAAAAATCAGAGCGTGGGGTTATCAGCATTTGTTAGAAACTGCAGATCTCGTTTACTTGATTGCTATGTTTCCTGTAGGAATCATTTAAAAGAAAAAGTTTCTTCCTTGGATGAGAAGTCTTCTTTTTCTAGCAAACTCCACAGCTCCATCCCCTCTGCAAAAACAAAGTTCCTTTACAATAGTGATTTTATTTTATTTTATTTGCAGACTTACTGTGCTGGAAAATGACTTTTTTGTTGCTCTTTAGAAAATGGCCATTGGTCACGTTTCAGAAAACCAGAGCTACAGACAGATACAGCTGCACAGCCTGGATGCATTTCTAAGTGCAAAGAGTCTCACAAACAGACCCTTCCCTTACAGAGTGACTGAAGCATCACAGCCTGCCACTCATTCAATCCCAAATGTTTCATTAACATGCTCTTATACCACTGACACCGGCATGGGCACCACTCTCCTGAGGAAGCCACCAGACCTTCACAAAACCAAGTCTGCTCCCTAGCCTCACCCATTTCTGCCCAAACTCTGAGGGCAAGGCAACCCACAGGAGGCTTTCCGAAGCACCTTGAGTATTTATACGACTAAGATGCAAGGGTGGTGAAATGCATTTAATGCTTAAAACCCAGATGAAAGCAGGATTTAAAAGCTTTGGCAAGTTTTATCCCACACTTTGCTGGTAACCAGAGCAAGTCTAGACAAGTTCAATGGTGCCACGCTGTTAATTCATGATGACATCTTTCAACTACTCTGTTGGTTGGTGATTCCATTCCACACCAGGAAACCGTGAAAAGGCGAGATACTTAGATATGAGAGGATCAAAGGCCAAGGAAATAAGCAGGTGAGGGATAAAAAAAAATCGTAATATAAAAATCTGAGGAGAATAGATGTTATACTAAAAATATTTCCAGGCTTTAGGAGCAGAAATAGAAGCTTTCCTTGCTCTAAGCACATTTCATCGGTGCTCCTTAAATCCCACGAGGGACAAGGAGGAGTGGCAGAGATGCTGTAATGACTCCTTTAATGAATCTAATCAAATAGGGTGGGAAAGGGTAGAGCTGTTCCCTCACAGGCACATGCTGATGTCAAAGGAAATTACATGCACTCACCCGCAGGCAGGAGTTGGCTCCTATTACTACGTCAGATGTAGCACTGAAAGAAATGCTAATCTAAGAGAAATACTGACACTAAGAGTCACCATTCAGCACGGCACAGGGACCAGCCCTCAGAGAGGGGCTCACTACTGTGGCTCTGAGACAACGGAGGATGTCTCACCCCAGGAGCATCTCACTGTTCAGCATCTTCCCGCTGGAGCTCTGCAAAGCGCTTCACAAAGGGAGTGAATCACAGGGTGTAGAGAAAAGGAAGATTTAAGGCCAGATTTAAAGAAGGAAGTGACTCAGCCGCCGGGAGGGCTGGGAGGGAAAGCTTTAGACAGACGGGGCAGAAAGAGCAATTTCTTCTCTGCTCGGAAGGGCTGTGCCGAAGCACCACGGCCAACTGAGTCAGCCAGGGAGGAGTCCGTCTGGGGGGACACTGATTACCAGCAGGGCAGCTCCTGGTTGGATCTGGCTAAAAAGTTAGTACATACAGAGATGGGGACAATTCCACGGTTAGCGCAGAGGGAAGCCTCTGGAGAGGAGAAGCGTAATTGGAAGAGCAATGGTCACCTTTACCTGCAGTGAATAAAAGCAGAGTAACTCCACTAAAGAGGAGAGCTCCTGGAAACTCCTGCTCGAATCTGCCAGGGGACACACGTCCTGTCTATGTCATGGAGGTTTTAGTGGGTTCCATGAACTCATCATTCCCATCATTGTGCCTAGGCAATAGCTTTTTCAAAACACACACATACATCAATAAAGGCAATGCATCTGCTCCTTCCAGAGTGCCTGTGGGAATGCACTGCTGGAATATCTTGACTTCTCAGTGCCTCATTAGGAGCTGGAGGCCTAACTCAACAGTCCGAACCACAGCACTGCATACCAGGACATCCAGGTGCACTGAGATGAGGGGAAGAACAGGCCAAACCCAACCAAGTAAGTGGGAGAAGAGGATCCCTGCTAGTAACTCCAACCAACATGACGAACCAGTCGTGCATGCAGACGATCCCATGGGAGCCTGCCCACACAGGTGAGACGCTGCCAGATCCCTGGGTCACCAATGGGGCACTAACCCTGGGGTGTGCAGATACAAGACCATTAAAAAGCCACCTTGCCCACAAGCCTGTGAAAAAAGTGGTATCAACTAAGCTCTAATTAGCTGACAATGTGATACATTCACATGAGAGGTGCTTAAAAACCCCAAGATGGGGAACAGAGATGGGACAAAGATAAAAAGAGACCTTAGGATCGACACATCAAAGAAAGCAGGGCCATCAGATAGGCAGTGGCTTCAGACCTCCAGTGCAGAACACTGATCTCATTTGGCAGAGAAAAGGTTTAAGAACTTTGGCTTCTGTCGATAACAATAAATACTTACATCCCATACCACCCAAAGGCCAGAAAATGTGCTCAGCGAGAAAGCTGAAGCATGTGCTCATTTACAGTCACCACTAACAAGCAGCAGCAAGGGAAGGGAGTGGTAAACTATTACAGCAGACCAAGTTTGCTCCCCACACCCCCCAGCATACAGCCAAGCTCACAGGGCTGTGGCCCTGGATCTGCTCCCCACAGAGCCTCTGCTGGCTTTTGCCAATAAACCAGGCAGAAACAGGAGAGAGAAAAGGGATACTTTGTCTGCAATTGGATGGCTGGGGAAAAAAAATGGCTTTTTGAAGCTAAATGCTGTTCTTGGAGCAGGCTGAACTAGGCTGGCTGTGAAGTAACTGGGAACAACTGCCAAAGTCCATGACCTGGGACACCAGCGTTGCTCTGGAAGAGAGGAGGATGCGTCCAGCCTATCCAACCCTCCCCTTCATACAGTGCCCACACTGACATGCTCAGAAGCTCCCATTTAAGCACCAAGACAGATAATTTTTCCCTGTTTATCCCATCATCCTATCAACCTAACTGTGAAAGCCCAGCTGTACGAGCTCCCTGCAGCAGTTGTGGGCGGTGATATTAACATCGGAGGAGCAAACCAGAGTTTGTTTTCTTGCTACGCTTTTATGTTGGAAAACATTGTGCCAGGATGTGTGAGGCTGACATCTGGAGCGAGGCCAGCTTCCTCTTAGACATGGGCGTTCATCGCAGTCAAAGGGAGCCGATGTGCATCTTCTTCTGTGGGAGGGGGAAGAAAGCTTGGCATAGGATATAATAAAAATATTTACCTAGCCATGGGGTAGTTTACAGATAGGCAAGAGGGAACAGGGAACAACAGTGAGTCTTCTGAGGGAGATGGTGCTTCCAGCAGAGAGCTTGTTGGTGAGCAAGCAACTTTGCTTTGCAGATATAAGCAGTCTCCTGACTTAAAAGCATTCTTCAGCAGAGATCTAAAGGAATTCCCCACTCCTGGTGAATGCACTTGAACTGTGAGGGGAATTCATAAATTCTTTTGAAGCAAAGCTTACGGCTTTCAAGTTGTTGGACCAGAGATGACTAGTCGATTGATCTGAAAAGAGGTGAAGACCTGGGTGGGGAGTTCAGGGATATTTTTTTCCTGAATGTCCATCTGATGAAGGTCTATGGCAGGATTCAGGAAAATATCCTCTAGAGTTTGGCACACACCTTGGGAGAGTTGGCTCCATTCCAGCTTACCCAGTTCAACCCAGCCTAGCCATTCTGGGATGAGGTCCTACAAGCTGGGCACAGCTGGGAAATATGTAACTAGTTTTCTCCAGTACTTGTGCAAGACGTGTGTCTACACTCCAAACTCTGCAGGGTAAAACACGTGTCAGAGACTGCTCAAATCCCAGTGCTTAGTTCTCCTTACTGGCCGACGGACCCCCTACCACCTCCACGTGGTTGCCCTCTACAGTGGTAATAAGTGAGGCTGCTTCTCTTAACCTCTGAAATCCCAAGCAGTACTTTGGGTTTTCCTTCTACTGATGTTACCGTCACCAGCTCAGCTCCATTAATGCCATTTTAAGCTAAGTCTGCCAGGTCCACAAATTCCACTACCACAAAGCCCCAAAACCAAAAGCTCACCACGTTAAGGCAGAAAAGGAGCACACTTATTCTTCTGGGCCCAGTGTCTGCCTGTTAATACACATCTCCCCAGCAGGCTGAGAAAACACACTGCTCAGGGACAGGGTCACTAGCAAAGGTATCTTTTCTCTCCCTGGTCCTGAGGATGCTGGGAGGATGCAGTTCTCTGCTAAATGCAGAGTGGCAGAAGTGCCATGTCACCCATCTCACACGCGTTCCCCAGCAGCTGTTCCAGCAGCAGCAGAGTCTCAGGATACCCTGAGCCCACTGAAGACTCATCCATGACAGGATTTAGTCCCCTCGAATTAGTCTGCTATTTATGCTCCCCTTTCCCAGAAAGAGATGATAAAGAATGAAGCAACAGAGAGGGCTTTTCAGAGACCCCCAGCCCTGAACACTCAAACTCTGAGCCTTTCTTTTTTTGTCTCAGAACCTTTTCCATCCTTGCCTGGTGTCCCTCTTGCATAATTCACTTTTTCCAACTGCCTCAAAACTGATTAAATGCCACTTTAGAGGGTCACTGCTAGATGGTTAAGCAGTATACACATAATTAACATTAGTCAACAGTCAGAAAGGTAGGAAAGCCCCAGAGGTTGGAGGAGCAGTTAGTGGCAGCGAACTGCATAACAAAATGGGTTTTGTTAGTGCTGGGCTCAAGCCCCTCCACTGCAAACACAAACGGAAAAGGATTAATCACAGGTAAGGCACAAATGGGCCCTTCCGTTAGATTCTGGGAAAGCCGCCAAGCCTCCCTTTCAAAAGGCTCTTTATATCATAGCTGTACAT